GAGAGGATTTTAGCTTCTGCACCGGGCCCTATTCCATTTTCAGTATGGCAGTTCTAGATCGTTGTGCAGCTCCTCATGCTCCAGCTGTCGTGTCTGCATTTGGGTGACAGGAAAAACCAAAGAAGGCACATCTTTTCTCCAGTGATACTGCCTGGTGTCCTCTTTGGTGTATCTGCTTACTTCCCTGGAGAAAACCTAGCTTCATGGCTGTACTGGCAGGAGAAACTGGGAAATGTCAACTTTATTTTGGGCAAAGTTGGTAGAGAGAGAGTTTGGGTATTGGTTTCTGCTTTATGATGGGGTCAAGACCTGCTTTGAGCACTCCTTTCTCAGCAACAAGCTCCTAGACCGCCTTAAGATCCTGATAAGGATCCCATGCAGAGGGTTGTGCAGGGCGCTTGGATGTGTTGTTTGCAGTAGTGGAGTCTGAGCATCTAGCCTCCAGGCCCAGCCCTCTCACCTTCATTTGAGGTTTGAGAGAGTCTGAGGTTTGCTAAGTAGGACTAGAAGTTCCAGAGAGGTAGAAAGTAGATGGTGGAATTTGATTGTGTTTTGTTTTATTTTTAAGATTTATTTTTATGAGAAAGTTAGATTTACAGAGAGAAACATCTTTTATCTGTTGCTTTACTCCCCAAGTGGCCACAACAGCCAGAGCTGAGCTGATCCAAAGCAAGAGCTAGGAACTTCTTCCAGGTCTCCCACTTGAGTGCATTCCCAAGGCTTTGGGCTGTCCTTTATGCTTTCCCATGTCATAAACAGGGAGCTGGATGGGAATTGGAGCAGACAGTATACATACTGGAGCCCATATGGGATCCTGGTGCATGAAAGGTAAGAACTTTAGCTGCTAGGCTACTGCGTCAGGCTGAGGAATTTGATTTCTTTTTTTTTTTTTTTTTAAGATTTATTTTTATTGGAAAGGCGGATATACAGAGAGGAGAGACAGAGAGGAAGATCTTCCGTCCAATGATTCACTCCCCAAGTGCGCGCAACGGCCGATGCTATGCCAATCTGAAGCCAGGAGCCTCTTCTGGGTCTCCCATGTGGGTGCAGGGTCCCAAAGCTTTGGGCTGTCCTCGACTGCTTTCCCGGGCCACAAGCGGGGAGCTGGATGGAAAGAGGGGCCGCCGGGATTAGAACCGGCGCCCATATGGGATCCCAGGTGTGCAAGGCGAGGACCTTAACCACTTGCGCCACCACGCCGGGCCCAGGAATTTGATTTCTTAAGAAGAATCAGGGAAATAGTCAAGGAATTTAGCTTCTGCTTGATGGGGTATTTTTGGAGCTCTCTGACGGAACTGAGATTAGGATGAAGCAAGAGAGGCACTTGGAACCAGCATTTCAAGATGTACTTACTCTGAAATTCCATGTGTGTCCCAGGGAGTGTAACCTTAACATTTGTTGCCCCAGGCACTTGACTGGTTTCGCCCTACCCTCGGCTATACATTATTGCTAATGAAATATTTTTCTTTGTACTGTGAAAAAAGAACTTATGCATAGCAAAGTAGTCACCAGATTATTGTTATTATTACTTTTCAAGATTTATTATTTTATTTAAAAGACAAAGGCAGGACTGTGCCAAGCCAAAGCCAGGAGCCAGGAGTTATGTCCAGGTGTCCCTTATGTGTGAAAGGCACCCAAGCACTTGGACCACCTTCCTCTGCCTTCCAAGGAACATTAATGGGCAGCTGGAACTTGAGCTGTCATTCATGTGGGATGCCAGCATCACAAATGACAGCTTAACTTGCTGTATCGCTTAAAAGGTATACACTAGAAAAATATTTTGACTTCACATCTTCATTTTCTTCCCAGAGGCAGCTCCTCCACTGGGTGTTTCTGTACCTTGTGGCTGAGTTTTTTTTTTTTTTTTAATAAAATTTCATCATTTTTCTTGGAAAGATAGATATACAGAGAGAAGGAAAGACAGGGAGGAAGATCTTCCATCTACTGATTCACTCCCCAAGTGGTTACCTTGGCTGGAGCTGAGCTGATCTGAAGCCAGGAGCCTGGGGCCTCTCCCAGGTGTCCCATGCGTCCCACGCCTGTGCAGGATCTTAAGGCTTTGGGCTGTCCTCTATTGCTTTCCCAGGCCACAAGCAGGGAGCTGGGTGGGAAGCGGGACAGCCAGGAATAGAATCAGCACCCATATGGGATCCCAGCACGTTCAAGGCGAGGACTTTAGCTGCTAGGCCACCGCACTGGGCCTCCTTCCTTCTTTTTAAGAGGTTTTTGTAACCCTGTTACTGAGGACTGACTTGCTGAGGTCCCCATGCTTCTCTTTGCCTGACACTGTTAGATTCAGCCTCCTGGTATTCCAACTCCACGTTTCTGAGGAAGATAATTTAATAGGGCACAGCTTGGTTCTGTTGTTTGGCTAGGGAAAGGTAAGGAATTTGGAGAAGAGGCTGAACTGTACCTAAAAATAGGCTTACTGTATTGCACAGGGATTTGTGGATTTCTGGGGGCTGTTAACTAGTTAATCCTTGTTAGCTGATGATCTAAGCTTAGCCACACACGGAAAGCTTTGATCCAGAAAGCAGGTCCTAGGAAGACCAATAGCATAAATTCCTTGTGGCTTCTTCCTTCCCCCTTCCTTACTGTCCTCTTCCCCACTCACCACCCAGTTCTCGTGACTAGCTAGTACTTGCCTGTGTTACTTTCCAGCTTATGGAGTAAAAGCTCTTTTTTTTTTTTTTTAAAGATTTATTTTTATTACAAAGTCAGATACACACAGAGGAGGAGAGACAGAGAGGAAGATCTTCCGTTCGATGGTTCACTCCCTAAGTGACTGCAACGGCCAGTGCTCCGCCGATCCAAGGCCAGGAGCCAGGAACCTCCTCCAGGTCTCCTACACAGGTGCAGAGTCCCAAGGCTTTGGGCCATCCTTGACTGCTTTCCCAGAGAGCAAGCAGTGAGCTGGATTGGAAGTGGGGCTGCCAGGGTTAGAACTGGTGCCCATATGGGATCCTGTCGTGTATAAGGCGAGGACTTTATCCACTACACTATCGTGCCAGGCCCAAGTAAAAACTCTTAAAGAGCCCTCAAGGCTGTTTAGCCACCTTTCCTTATTTTTATAGTTAATCCTAGGAGTTCCTCTTCTTGTGAGTGAACGTTCTGACCATGTCTGACAATGGTCTTGCGCAGAGAATTGGCTGTTCGTGAAAGTCATCACCACCTTGATTTATATCAGAATTCATCAGTTCCCTTCTTTGCTTGGTGATAGGTTTAAGAAAATATGCAATATGCTTTGGTTTCCCTCTGGAAATTTGTCATCTTCTCAGGGTGGCAAGACCCAAACACCTGAGGGAGAGATCCCCTTGAGACAGATGTGCACCTGACCACGGCGTTAGGCACTGAGTTGTGAAGAGAGGGCGGCATAGGGCTCAGGAGAGTGAGCTCAGGGGGAGGCTGAGGCTGGCGGGTATATTTAGGAAGTGGAGGCTGACAGTGTGAGTTGCGTTTGGTTGTAGTTAGAAGAAGAGGTCACGGCATATCTTTTATGTGTGGATCTGTTATTAGAAATGAAGAGTGAGTCTGAAACAGCATGCAAGATAGTAGTAGCAAGCAAAAGTGGCTTAGAAAAAAGGCTAAAATCCTTTAAACACACATGGAAATTCTCTCTTTAGGTATCAGGGACAGTGTTTAGAGATGTTTCTGTGATGCTTCTTACTGTTAAACTACTTAGACATTGATTTCATTTTATTCCTGCGGAGCAGCGCAGTTCTGTTTGGAAGGAGTAAAGGGCTGGGACCTCACCTCAGGACCAGATGTCACCAAATTGCATGAGCAGCTGGAGCATAAAGCCAGCAGGTACCAAGCAGTTAGAGTTTCAAGCCAGCAGTGTTGACCTAAGCCCAAGGAACACACACATGCTCCCTTTCCCATGGACCTCATGGATGATTGGGAAGTTTGGATACAAATGGGGGTGGGGTGATTGACTGGCCTGGGAATGTGAACTTGGCAGTAGCCTCTCTCAGCCTCAGTTTCTTTATATGAGAAGTGAAAACCCTCCCCACCCTAATCAGAGGCCCAAGTGGGCATGTATTCCTCTTGGCTATGTAAGCACTATCAAAATAAAATTAAAAGAAAGACATTAGGCCTGGCGAGATAGCCTAGTGTCTAAAAGTCCTCGGCTTGCATGCACCAGGATCCCATACGGGCACTGGTTCTAATCCTGGCAGCCCCATTTCCCATCCAGCTCACTGCTTGCTTCCTGGGAAAGCAGCCGAGGATGGCCCAAAGTCTTGGGTTCCTGCACCTGCATGGGAGACCCAGATGAAGCTCCTGGCTCCTGACTTTGGATTGGCGTAGCTCTAGCTGATGTGGTCACTTGGGGAGTGAATCATTGGATGGAAGATCTTCCTGTCTGTCTCTCTTCCTGTCTTTATATCTGCCTTTCCAATAAAAATAAATAAATCTTAAGAAAAAAAAAAGACATAAGGATAGGAATATTGCGTGAGTATTTTTTATCAGAAAAGCTTCAGAGCAAAGTGTTTCAGATGCAGGGTTTTGTTTGATTTTGGGATATTTGCATAGACTATTAGTGGGCATTTCCTTAGCAAATGCTCTAAGCTCCAAGACTTGCTGGGCATTGGTACCACCAGTTCAAGAAGCTTTGAATTTTGTTTTTTGAATTTTGTTTTTTAATGTAACTATTGTGAAATAAAAAGGTAACCAAAAATAGACAAAATAATTGGTGAAGTCAACCATTCTTGGGCCTGAGATAGGTTACCAAAAATGTTTCTGACTTAGGAGTGTGTGGATATATGCTCACGCGTTTCTGTGTGTATTTGAGTGTCCATAAGTATGAAACATTCCCATTGCCATTGGCTAGGGTAGGCACAGGATCCCCCAATTTGCCTCATTTTGGGGGGTGGGGCAGGCAGTCCTTTGGCGTCTTTGCCTTAGGCAGGAATGGCAAAAGTGATGCCCATTGTAAAGGGAAGTTGGTCTCCTAGGCCCTCAACTCAAGCTTGCCAATGACACTGTGGTTTTCCTTCTAGGTCTGCTGACATTTGTGAACTGTGCCTATGTCAAGTGGGGCACACTTGTGCAGGACATCTTCACTTACGCCAAGGTCCTAGCGCTCATTTCCATCATTATCATGGGCCTTGTTAAGCTGTGCCAGGGTAAGAGCGGGAACAAATGTGGGAAGGAGGGTGGATGCTTCAGGAGTTCCCAGTTCCTTGAGGACATGGGGATTCTGTTGGCTTTACTTCTTGGCTCTTCTGTGTACATACCAGGGTGTGTCAGAGAGTAAGATATGGGAGTAAATTATTTCCTGGCCTTCTTGTAGCAGACTGGCTTGGCCAGCTAGACATGCCTGTCCCGTCAAGGATGCCTTGCCAGGAGCCTTGCTGGAAGCCAGTGAGGGCCTAGGAGCTGTGGAAGCTTGGGTCCTAAAAGTCATGCTGGGGAAAGATAGAGTGGCTCCTGTTTTTCAGTCTGTAACTGGTAGGCAGTGAGTAGGAGGACTTGACCCTCCTTGAAAGGGGAGTGGATATGTGTAGGAGTTGGGTTTTGCAAAGGGTGATGATTTTTCAGCTTTTCCTTTGCACTTGAATTTGTATTTAGCCTTCTCACTCAGAGTCAGCTCTCAGCAAAAATGTTAAAATATTATGAAATTTTCTGCAAGTTGGCTTTAGAAAACTTGTCAGTGCTGGAGCTGAGGAGACTGGCTGTGACAGTAACAAACCTCCAGAGCCTTTAAGACATCCTGAGGGATTCTTAGCCAAGCCAGGTTTGGTCATTTCCCATCCAAGTTCTGCAGGTCAGTCCCTCAAGCTTGACCATGTTTGCCATCACCTGGGAAGAAGAGAGTGTGTTCTCAGACCTATTAGGTTGTTTTGGAGGCTAACAGCTGTACCCCAAGTCTTAGGCTGTGTCTCAGCACCTTTCTGAACTTTGCCAACTTCAGTACAACTGAGTCTCTGGATGTCCTTGGCATCTCAGGAGCGTCTCGTGGTCAAGTTGGGTTGATGGGAATCCTCCTGCATAATCTGCGTCCCAGAGGACTTTTGGTATTTTTCATGACTAATGCCCCTATGGGAATGGGCTCTCTATACTTTGTTTTCTTGTTGCACACTCAGCCCTTTTTTCACATTGAGATCTGGGTGTATTCTGCAGGGGGTGACAATGGGTCCCTTAAAAAATTGGAGCCTAATTAAAAACTCCCTGTGTGTTCTAGAAGGTTCCTGTCGGGGGTGAGGTAATCCCGGCCCAGTGAAGCAGGAAGGTCTCAGTTCCTCTGTAGCCTGTGATTACCTGCTGTTGCCACTGCAAGTAGGGTTGCACAATCCTCTCCATGAGGCTGGTGAACCTGCTTGGCCAAATTGTGCAGTAGTCTGAATCGAGAGAGGGAGTTGTAGTGGAAGGCTTAATCATTAAAGAAAATTAGTCCTTTATGTGAAATGAGTTATTACTATTATTTAATATTATTAGACGAAGTTTGGTCTGCCATCAGCTCACTTACAGGAAATAGAAATTCCTTAGGGTTTTAGAAAAAGCATTGTCACATCAGAGAGCAGCCACAATGATTTTGTTTTTCCATTATTACATAGTTTTGCTAAAAAAATATGAGTTTTCCTGCGGGAATGGATGGGCGGTGAAGTACAGGGAGCTGGTGGTAGTTCTTTTGATGTTAATTTTTTTTTCTCTTCCTTTCCCCAACCTCCTTGTTTTCCTTTCTTTGCTTGTCCCATCTTGTCTTCTTTCCCATTCCTTCCCATCTTTCCACTCTTCCTTATACCCTCCATCTCTCTGTCTCCCTTCTCCCTCCCCCTGAAATCTCCACAGGACACTCTGAGCACTTTCAGGACGCCTTTGAGAATTCCTCCTGGGATATGGGAGCCCTCTCTCTTGCTCTCTACTCTGCCCTCTTCTCTTATTCAGGTTGGGACACCCTTAATTTTGTGACAGAAGAAATCAAAAACCCAGAAAGGTAAAGGCGGTGTTACACTCTTACTCCCAAGCTTGGCTGGAACTCCTGCTGATAGTGCCAGGCTTGCCCTCTTCTTTCTCATCCCCTCATCCCCCTGCTCCATGTTCTCCAGCTAGGAGGTGTCAGGGACTAGGATTGGATTGAGTAAAGATGGGAGGCCCTAGCTCCTTTCTCCCTCCCATGTTCACACTGGAGGGTTATGAGGGTCCTTCCCAGAGAATAGGTCTGCAGTGGGTGGCATGGACCCACTTGCATTAAGACCTTACATTCTGGGGCTGGGATGAAGCCTGAGGAGCCAAAGCTGCTTCCGGCCATGACGTCCCCAGCCAGGCCTCTAGTCCCCAGAGCACATTGTTTCTTGCATCTGTACTAAGGCTTACAGGTGCAAGAGGGTTTTTGAAACTTGTTGGCTTTTCTGTGGCAAGAGATCATCTGTTGATCCTGAGCTGTCTGCCCTGACAAAGGACTCCCTCCTTCAGTCTATCTCAATGGAAATAGCCTTTAGGAATGGGTTGCATACCAACTCTAAGCCACAAAAAGATAATGAGCCTGCTAACTGTTAGAGAAATTCCAGTGGAGACTTGATGAGCTTTGATCTTTGAGGGACTGGTTTTAGGTAGTCCACTCTCTTGTTCTGACAGAAATTTGCCCTTGGCCATTGGGATTTCTATGCCGATTGTGACACTCATCTACATCTTGACCAATGTGGCCTATTACACGGTGCTGAGCATTTCGGACATCCTCGGCAGTGATGCTGTGGCTGTGGTGAGTCTCTTGGGACCTGCTGCTTGCTGATCACCTGTAGCCTCCATATGGCCCAATCTTAATGCCACCACTCCAGCTCTGCACGATCAGAGCAAAAGTTTGTGCAGGAGGGCGGGCTGCTTAGTAATGACTGCATTTGTCATGAGATCACAGCTGCAGCAGGGTTATGAAACCTCTGTGCTCTGCCCCCAGACATTTGCTGACCAGACATTTGGCATATTCAGCTGGACCATCCCCATTGCCGTTGCTCTGTCCTGTTTTGGGGGCCTCAACGCCTCTATCTTTGCTTCATCAAGGTACTGTATCTACTTCACTTAACAGGCTCTGCTTTTGGTATTGTGAGTGTGTGTTTGTGAATGGAGTGTATACATGTATGTACATACACACGTGTGTGCCTTTGTGTAAATGTGTGTGCTGGATAACTCATGTGTTTGAGGGGAGGGCAGGTAGTGGATCACAACAATAATCCCATCAGGTACAAACCTTGAGCTCGTTGTGAGTTATGCTGATGTCCAGGATTCGTTCCTTTAATAATTGCTAAGTGGGCACTCGATAGTACTGTGCCTGGGATGACTATACATCTCACTTTGCAGCCCGCAGCGGGCTTCCACTGTCTCTGTGCAGAACCTTAGCTCTGAAAATGTCTGACTCTCTGTTGTTGCCAACAACGAAGATCTGCCGTTGCAGGTGGCCTCTGCCTCGTGGGCTCAGGAGCCCAGCACCGATCTTGCCTTACCAGTTGGCCTTTCTTTTAGGTGAATGATCACTTATCACCAGCTCTCCATGAACTTCTCTTGTGTCGGCCTTTCCCAGCTCCTTCTTTCCCTTTTCTGGACATACTTCGTAAGAGAGTAGTCATTATTTCTTACCTGCTTAGTGCAAGTTACCACCCTCATTTGCCTCTCCAACATCCTGCCCTAGTGGCACTTTTCCGGTTGATGTCTTCAGCTCCCCTGGCTCTACCTGGATGGACAGCAGGGTGCACCCAACCTGTAGTTTGTTTGCAGTTGTGCTGCTGTGATCCATCAGTCTTTCTTCCACAACTAGAGCTTGTTTGGACACTCACTGGAGCACCAAATTTGATTGACCTGTCCTCAGCCAAGGTGCCCACCCTCATTCACACAGCCTGTTTTACAGGACAATTGTGATAGATGACTGAGCCTTCTCCCCTGTGCTGGGGTCTCCCTGTGAGGCCTCTGTGATGCCATCAGGAGTCTCTGCTGTTAAATATTGTCAGAACTTTACTTCAGAGCCCTTGATTGCTCCCAGAGTCTGCTCGTATTCCATAGCACTGCCTTGTGCACAGATTCTGCCCTGCAACCTCTTTCATACACTTTGTCTTGGGGTTATAGGTTCTTCAGCAGCGACCTTAAAAGAGGTCATTCTTTTGTGCCACCAAGCTTCTTTTATATTTGCACATGCTGGTCCCTCACACTCCCACTTTCTTCTGGCAAATTTTCCCTCATTTTCCCAGCCCTGATGGGGTTATCTCACTAAATACTTTTTACTCCCCCAGCTTCTCCTCAAACTTAGTACACTTGTGTTGTGCGCTCCAAGATGATGCTAACCTTGGTGGGAGGGGATTTCTCACCTCTTTGCCGTTCATTTTCACAGTGGGCAGAGCTCTGGGTGCTGAGGGGAAGCCTGGGCTGTGCCTCTGATCCCTAGGCTTATCCGAATTTATCATCTATCAAGAACTCAGGGGAGACCTATGGAAGTACACCCAGTCAGCTGGCTACTTTCCTTTAAATTTTTATCTGTTCCCTTTATTTACTTCAAAGGCAGAAAGAGAAAAAAAAATATTTTTAAGATTTACTTATTTTTATTGGTAAGTTATATTTACAGAGAGAAGGACAGACAGACAGATCCTCCATCCACTGGTTTACTCCCCAAGTGGCTGCAGTGGTCGGAGCTGAGCTGATCCGAAGGCAGTAGGCCAGAGCCTCTTCCGGGTCTCCTGTGTGGGTGCAGGCCCTAAGGCTTTGGGCCGTATTCCATTTCTTTCTTAGGTCACAAGCAGGAAGCTGGAAGGGAAGTGGAGCAGCTGGGATATGAACCAGTGTCCATATGGGATCCTGGGCATGCAAGCTGAAGACTTTAGCCACTAGGCTCTCGTGTCGGGCCCAAAGATTTTTTATCCGCTGGTTTACTCCCCATCTGCTCACAGGATCCATGGTCAGACCAGACCACAGACAGAAGCCTACAATTCAGTCCAAGTCGTCTTTATGTATGGTAGGGAATCAAGTACTTGAGCCATCACTGCCGCCAGGATCCCATATGGGCTTCGGTTCTAATCCCAGGAGTCCTGCTTCCCATCCAGCTCACTGCTTGTGGCCTGGGAAAGCAGTCAAGGATGGCTCAAGGCTTTGGGACCGTATACCCGTGTGGGAGAGCCGAAAGAGCTCCTGGCTTCTGGCTTTGGATTGGCTCAGCTCTGGTTGTTGTGGCCACTTGGGGAGTGAACCATCAAATAAAAGAGCTTCCTCCCTGTCCCTCGCTTCCTCCCTGTCCCTCCTCCTCTCTGTATATCTGCCTTTCCAATAAAAATAAATAAATCTTAAAAAATAAAAAAAAAAAGAAATGAATTGTGTTGACACATTTCTTGTTCTTCCAGGTTGTTCTTCGTGGGCTCCCGTGAGGGCCACCTCCCAGACCTTCTATCCATGATCCATACTGAGCGTTTTACTCCTGTCCCTGCTTTACTGTTCAACGTAAGTTCTGAGGGAGAAGTATGGGACTTGTGTTTGTGCAGGCTTCCTTCTCATTTGCATTTAGCGGTTTAAGACACACACACACACGTGTACTTCAGAAAGATTGCAGAAATTGAGTTAAAAAATAAGTCTGGGGGCAGCAAGCTGTCTTTACCTTGGCACCAGCATCCCTTATGAATTCCAGCCACTGTGTTTCTAGTCCAGCTCCCTCCTTGCTGATGGCCTGAGAAATGAGCAGAGGAATGCCCAAGTCCTTGGACTCCTGCACGTTGCAGACTTGGAAGAAGCTCCTGGCTCCCAGCTTTAAACCAGTCTGGCATTGGCCTTTGCAGCTATTTGGGAAGTGAACCAGCAGACAGATCATCTGTCTCTCTCTGTCAGTACTCCTCTCTTTAATTCTGCCTTTCAAATAAAAATAAATTTTGAAAATATATTTTTTTAAGATTGATTTTTCTTGGAAAGTCAGATTTACAGAGAAGGAGAAACAAAAATCTTCCATCTGCAGGTTCACTTCCCAAATGGCTACAATGGCCAGTAGCTGAGCCAATCCAAAGCCAGGAGCTAGCAGTTTCTTCTGGGTCTCCCTTACAGATGCAGGATCCAGAGCCTTTGGTCCATCCTCAATTGCTTTCCCAGGTCACAGGCAAAAGCTGGATGGGAAGTGGGGCTGCTGGGATTAGAACCAGCACCCATAAGGGACCCTGGCCTATGCAAGGCAAGGACTTTAGCCACTAGGCTCTCATGTTGGGCCCTCCTGCGAAGGAGACCCAGAGAAAATTCCTGGCTCCTGGCTTTGGATTGGCTCAGCTGTGGCCATTATGGCTACTTGAGGACTGAATAAGTGGACAGGTCTTCCTCTCTGTATATGTGACTTTCCAAAAAAAAAAAAAAAAAGGCATGAAAGTTTTCTATCCATAGACAACTGACCAAGCTAGGGGGTACATCTTCTGGGTCTCCCACATATGTGCAGGGTCCCAAGGTTTGTGGCCATCCACTACTCGTTTTTCAGGCCACAGGCAGAGAGCGGAATGGGTAGTGGAGTAGCCAAGACATGAAAGAGCACCCCTATGGGATGCTGGCAACACAGAGCAGAGGATTAGCTTGTTGTGCCACTGTGCTAGTCTCTTTTGTTGATAATTTGATGTAAAAGGATAGGTACAGGAAATTCTATGTTTATGAAGTTGAAGCAAAGCGGACTTTATTCCAGGACTCCAGTTCTATTATTTTTTGTTTCAATTTTTATTGGAAAAGCAGATTTACAGAGTGAAGGAAAGAGAAAAATATCTATCTGCCGGTTAACTTCCCAAGGGACTGAAACAGCTGGAGCTGAGCTGAGCTGATGTAAAACCAGCAGCCAGGAGCTTCCTCTTACATGGATGCTGAATGGGAAGTGGAGCAGCCAGGATACATACCAGCCCCTGTATGCAATACCAGTGTGTACAAGGCGAGAATTTAGCTGCTGAGCCATTGCGCCAGGCCCGAGGATTCTAGTTCTTGACCAGTCTGGTACAATATGATTCCTGTTGAAGTGGGTGCGTTGAGGGCTTCCCTGGCTGCTTTTGGAAGGCAGAAGAAACCTGATGTGCACTGAAGTGTTTGCAGGGGAGGCATTGAGAGTAGGAAGACCCCAGTAGGAGAGACCCTGTCCTGAAAGTTCCTGTGGAGAAGGAACCTAAGTCATGTCGGGGTCATTGAAAAGGACCAAAGGCAATCAGGCCAAGCTGTGCAGACCTGCTGCAGTCAGTGGCAGTCTCCTGGGTGGGCTGTTGCAGGTGATAGCTGCTCACCCTCTCCATGCTTCTCCCACAGTGTGCCATGGCGCTCATCTACCTCATCGTGGAGAATGTCTTCCTGCTTATCAACTACTTCAGCTTCAGCTACTGGTTCTTTGTGGGCCTCTCTGTTTTTGGACAACTCTATCTTCGCTGGAAGGAGCCTGAGCGGCCCCGGCCTCTCAAGGTCAGCTGCTGTGTGTTGACCAGAAGGAGTGGGTCAGGGTCAGCTTCCAGGATGCCTTCTTGCCTGTGCCTCTTCCCTCTTCCTGCCTTCTTTAATATCTCACTCTTTGCATTTCAGCTCAGCCTGTTTTTTCCCATCGTGTTCTGCATATGCTCCGTGTTTCTGGTGATTGTTCCTCTCTTCAGTGACACCATCAATTCCCTCATTGGCATTGGGATCGCCCTTTCCGGGATTCCTGTCTACTTCATGGGTGTTTACCTACCAGAGACCCGCAGGCCACTTTTTATACGGAAAACCCTGGGTGAGCTTCTCTTCTGTTACTCACTGGCTATATGTGTATGGGGAAGGGACTGGAGGTGGGAGACCAGTGGCTAACAGCTTCCCCCAAAAGCTTGTGATTTCCCGAAGGCTATGAAACTTAGCTTCCCCATGTGGTTTCTCTTTGGTCCTGACATGGTTACTTTAATTCTACTGTAGTGTCATGTGTTGGAGTGTAAAACACTAGCACCTGACAGTGTAGTCTAGCTGGGAAGACAATGAGTCATGCGTTAAGCTGTGGCTGGCCCTGGGGCAGAGGAAAGTGATGTTGGGGATGAGGCACAATGCCTGGCATGGGCTATCCAAGGGACAGATGGGGAGAGATTCTGTGTTTTAATGAACATTATGCTATTCAGGTTAGGGCTGTGGTAAAGTGTTTTCTTAAATTCTGTGCTTCTGTATTTCATTTAGCTGCTATCACCAGAGTCATCCAGAAGCTGTGCTTTTGTGCCCTGACCGAGCTAGATGTAGCTGAAGATAAAAAGCTTGAGAGTAAAACTGACTAGAAGCCTGAGGTGACTTCCCTTGTCTCCTGGAAAGCTGACCACCTGTGGCCAGAGCCACCAAAGTCCAGATTACAAGACTTTGTGGGTCCAATCCTGAATTAAAGGAGCCTGTTGACCCACATAATATAAGGGGGCTTAGGGCCAATACTCACTCTCATTGGTAAGCTGTGGGCAGAGACTTGGGGCCTGGGACAGCCTGAAGGTTGGGACTTCAGTGGGTGGGTGAGTGGGATGAGATTGGGGATCAGGGGATGGTCATTGGTTTTGCTGCTGGTGGGTAGGAGCAGCCCTGACAGACTTACTTGGTAAGTTGCAGTTGAGGAATCTGGACTGCTGGGTTGATCTGTATGGATGTTGGTTTCTGGATTGATCTTGGAACCATGAGTGTATACAAAGGTGCTGCTTTTGAGGGAGTTTCCACTGACAGGTCTTAGCACCCTACTCTGAGGCATGAAATGCTGTCCTGTCTTCCTGTGCGCCACAGCTTTTCCCTGGGAGAGGGTTATATTCCTGCGGGTGGTGGGAACAGGTGGCTTGTTTCACTGATGCGGGTGCAGTGAGTCCCCTCTGCCTGAGCTCTCCAAGAGTTCAGCTGCTCTGGAACGTGACAGCTGCTCTGGAATTCCACACTCAGACAATAAGCCTGAAAGGCAGAAGTTTCTTCAGGGTCCCAGAAGTGGCCATCGAATGTCCTGTCAAGGTTGGCTCTTTGTTCTGCATCTGTCTGCTCAGGGAGCCACAGGATCTCACTATTGTGTAAATTGGTTCTCTCCTTGAGGAGCCTGCTTGTCTGGATTTGCTTGGATTACATTTGTACTTGTGGTCAACCTCCTTAAGATGAGCTTCCTGGTTAGAGCCACGTCTCTTCATCCCTGAAACAAGGGCTGAGGGGAAACCTGCTCCAGCTGAGGGGAGCAGCTCTGCAGCTAACTGGACCTGTGCCCACTGCCACCAAACTCCTGAGCGTCATTTTTTATTGATATTATTTAATCCAGAACAATTCTGGCAAAGCGTTATGTTCCTTTGTCTATGGGATGCAATAGAATCAACTGTGTGTCAACACCGAGTCCCTCTCCCCCGGAGGCATCTCTGTAGCAAGGCCGATTCTGACCAGTTTTATGCTCAGTGTAGCGCAATGTAGTTGAATCTCATTTGCAAAGGCGAGAACCTCAACCATTTCTTTGCTCATGTACATGTTATACTTCAGATCACGTTACAAGCAAGTGGCTCTGGTTCATCAAGGACAAAAACTCATGAGTCATAAGTTTGGTAATATTGCTGTTTTGAAGGATAATCCTGTTTTACTTGACACTTGGTCTCTGTTCTAGTTGATAGTCAATCTCCAGGCTTCTGGTGTGAACCTTAAGAGGGTTGAAACAGAGAGGGCTGAAACTGCTGAAGTTCAGGTGGATCAGCTGGATCCTTTCAGCTGTCAGTGCTTGGAGAACATCTCATGGGCCCATGTCATCAGAGAGCCCATTCCTTTGGGAGCTGATGTGAGAGCTGCTGTGCAGGCCAAAGCAAGCCCACCCTGGTGCTACAAGTGGCCGTTTTCTGTTCCGAAAGCCTCTCGCCAGGCTGATCTCCTGTGTTCCCAGCACCAGGGTCTGTTTACACTCTGAGCCACCTGGTGTAGATCATCGGGATAGCACACTCCTGTCCTTACCTCCTCTGGCCCCTGAAGTCTGGTGGGGCTACAGTCTCAGGAAGAGCTTTGTACTTGTCTGGACTCTTGTTTTTCTCCCTGTGAAGATCAGTGAAGACTTGGAGAAAAGCTGCTTCAGTCTCCCTCTGCACCTCAGCTGACTGTATGAGTGGAAGTAACCAAGTCTGGTACTCAAGATTGGGCTTTAATGCTCAGTAATGGACTTCCATCATGGGCAGGAGGAGGGCTGCGCTGGATTCTACAGTTCTGTCATGCCCCCAAATACTGTCATCTTGGGCCCAGAGAACCTGCAGGCTTCATAGGTCCTTCAGTAAACTCCTGGACCACTGTTATCCATGAACCTGATCCTATTACAGACAGGGGAGTAACTCTGGTATGTCCTTGCTCAATCAATAAGACTTAAGGGAGCCTGATCATTGTTGCCTTTATCTGAGGGCATGCATCCGTGAGAGCATGGGTAGACATTCCTGCTGTCACAGGTTGGGGATTTGTGCAGCAAATCCTGACAACAGGGGTCCTGAACAAAGACTTGCCTCAACATTAAGATGATTTATGCTCAGGCCAAACTGGCACCTATCCCAGGGCTCCTCTAGAGCTAATCCTTTTCTATAGTGTATACCTCAGGGACCCTGACCCTGGCTTTAGCTAATAACCAGCCATTTCCCGGAATTTACTGCCCTCAAGTGGCACCTAGAGGAATCATGGGACTCATACTCCAGGTGCACCCTGGTATTTGGAGAGCCTTGTTGCCCTTATTACTGGATCAATGAGAACATTCTTCCCCCTGGGTGATCAGTGAAAGCCGAAGACTCCCTACTGAACTCAAGCTTTTTGACAATTATTTTCCATCAGTTCTTTCATGTCTCCTTAATTCCTTCTTCTAGTGTGCTAATCAGTTTGCAGTGGGAATGGTTTGTGAAATTGTGAGCCCTATAATGTTGGCAAAGCTAATGAATACATAAACAAAAATGAGCACATTATAATGGCTAGAGTGTGTTCTTAAATCCTTCATTATTCTGCATACAGGAAATTAAGATGACTAGTATTAGATATTGAAGTTGCAGCTTGTTATTTCCAATGCTTACTTGTACCTGTGATTAGGATGGGAAAATAGCCTGCTGGTTTTAATTAGCTTCAGTCATATGGTCTGAACACAGAACTGCAGGTTTAACAGCTTTGCATAGGTCAAAGCTCACAAAATGGACATAAAGTAGAAGGGCTGGTAGAGGTAGGGTGAAGTAGAATCCTTAAAATGTGGCATGTGGAGCCAGCATCCCACTTATGATCCGGTTCCCACTTCTGCTCCACTTCTGATCTGGTTCCTTCCTACAAGCCTGGGAAAATAAGATGGCCCCAGTGTTTCAGCCTCTGCCCACCCATGTGGGAGACCGGATTAAGCTCCTGGCTTCAGCCTGGTGCAGTCAGGGCCATCCGGGAAGTGAATCAACAAATGGAGATTTCTATCTCCTTTCTCTGCAACCGACTTCCAAATCAACACATAATTTTCTTTAAAAATGTGGCAAGAGGCTATCTAATTCACCTTTCCATAATTAAGACACACATGGTCACAGGGGAAGATGATGTATCTTGGTTTGAAGTGAGGTTTTGGTGTTTTCTTTAAATTTATTTGAAAGGTAGAGAGGTTCTTATCACTTCCCAAATTCCCAAACAGTTGGGGCTAGAGGCCAGAGCCTCCTGGAATTCTATCTGGATCCTCCCACAGGAGGTACCCAGCCACCTGAGCCATTAGCGTTGTCTTCCAGGATAAACATTAGCAGGAAGCTGGGATGAGGAGTGGAGCCAGGGCTTGAATCCAAGCACTCTGAAATGGGATGTAGATGTCCCAAGTTGGATCGTTAATGTTCATTCTGAATTGGAGTTTTGTCTCACCAGACCTGTGTTATCTACTGCAGTAGCTGTGAGTCACATGTAGCAAGTAAGGAAAAACTCAGCTTCTTCATGTACTGCTCACAATTCAAGCACCCACAACCACACGAGGGGCTGCTATTACAAAGTCACACAGAGTACATTCATTTTGCTGCATTACATGCTACAGAATAATGGCAGCTATGCTTTGGAAAGCAGTAAGGACACACTTTGTTTACAGGAGATCTAAGTTCTAGTAACAAAATTGATCCTGTTTGGTTTTGTCAAGTGCTGTGAGTAGAAACATTTCTTAATGAAATCTAAGCTGAGGACGTGCTTTTTTCTTGCTTGCCTTGCTTTTGGGTCCTTGAAGTCCAAGGTTAATTCTAAAATATTGTATCACTACCCACCCCTTCCTGTGCATATGAAGCATGTAAGAAAACATCAAAGATTCCAATTTAAAACATTTGAATTAATTCTTTTTTTGGGCCTGGTGTAACAGCCTAGTGACTAAAGTCCTCACCTTGCATACACTGGGATCCCATATGGGTGCCGATTCGTATCCTGGCTGCTCCACTTCCCATCCAGTTCCCTACTTGTGGCCTGGGAAAGCAGTCGAGGACAGCCCAAAGGCTTGGGATCCTGCACCTGTGTAGGAGACATGGAAGAAGCTCCTGGCTCCTGACCAGCTCAGCTCCAGCTATTGTGGCCACTTGGGGAATGAACCATTGGACGGATGGAAGATCTATCCCTCTGTAAATCTGACTTTCCAATAAAAATAAATCTTTAAAAAACATCTTGTTTCTACTTTCTCAGTCAGTTTTTATTAAACAGAGTATCACATTCATACATATTGTTCCCTGACAGCCTGCTACAGAACAGTCATTATAGCATCATCGGAGTCCAACGAGGGAGACAAGGCAGCTGTTGAAACCTCCCTCAGTTGGGGCCAGTGCAGTGGCTCAGCGGGCAGTGATTCTAGTCCTGTCACCTAGAGCCTCAGAGTTGCCACAGTTGACTCCTGTCAAAAAGTAACAGCCTTTTACCAGAAGCAGGCAGCCTGGTCTCGGGGGAAAGCAGACTTACTGCTGATGAAATAGGAGCCTTCTTCATTTACACTTCAGCACAGAACAGAAATGGCCAAGGAAAACGTCAAGGCCAGGAAGCTAAAGGAACCTTCACTCTTGTGCCTAAGATCGCAGGATCACCTTTAAAGGGGCCCTACTATTCAGCGGAAGACAGTTCCTTAGCATACATATTCACCATGGTAAGGTGTTGCTCAATTATTTTCCTTCTACATGTGCAGTTAAGAAACCAAAGATGTCACCAGAACAGGTAACACCATAGTCCTGCGGCCTCCACAAGCCTGTGTCGGAATCTCAGGGATGTCACAAAACTGTCAATCTGAGTCCAGGTCATGGGGACCGTCATAGCCAAACTCCTTCTGCACATCCAGAGGGTACTTGTTCCACCTGTGCCGGCCACTGCTGCCTCTTTCCTCCTCGCTGAAGCTGGATTCATCAGAGCCTAGGAGACACCAGAAAGAGAGCCTATCATCTTCCTTCTCAAAAGGTCTATTATTTTACTTGCTGAATAAAAGAAATTCAGCAAATAGAACAACTTTTCTCTATTTGTTATAATTGTAATCTTATTGTAGCATTTCTTTTTATGTTTACTGGTATTTCCCTAGTAGAATATTCCACCAAGGAGTGAATGTCTCCTGTTAATAGACACCAACGACTTCTTTGTGTAAGTCTCCAATCTTTCCTTACTGGAGCCAGATGTGTGACTTAACCCCTACGAGGAAGCTGGCATTTTCTAGAAACATAAGGAGGCTTCAAGTGAAGTTGTTGAAGACTCATAGCTAGGCAATGACAGAACTAAGGATTGGAACCTGGGCCTGATGACATGACACCTTCAGCAGTCCCCCCAAGAACACTGCTCAATGGCAGAGAAGGAAAGCTAGCTAAGTGTATGTCAGATTTGGATCCTCCCAGTCTCTCCCTACCCAGGGCTGCCACCCACCTCTGGAATCCTCATCACTGCTCTCCTCCTCTGGGTACTCATTTCGCCAATTATTTTCACTGTTCTCATCATCTTCATCTTCGTAAATGTCTTCTGGTTGTTCATCATCATTCACCTGCACATCTCAACACAAACGTGAGTCTAAGTGAAAATTTTAGGGTTACATTCTGGGGGAAACCATTAGCATACTGCCTCAGGGAGACACCCTGCAAAGATGCCATGCGAGAAGAGCAAGGCTTGGCGTTAGTTTGACTCCTACACAAGAAGCTCCAGTCCTCTACAGCTATGAGGGGGAGAGCAGTCCAGAGAGACCTAGATAAGGATCTAGCTCTTCTGATGTGATAGGCGGACCTCCACCAGAAGTGACTACAGAGTAGAGAGGACCAGTAGCTCTGAGGTTTGGCAGTGATCTTCAAACTCCCGAGGGGTCGCAAAGTGGGAGACCGATTAGAGCTGATAAGAGCTACAGGAGTGCAGCAGGGGCTGTTCAGTGCTCCAAGGCAGACACCTGACTCTGAAGCTGATTCCAGTGCAGCTGCCTCTCACGATGTGAGTATGACAGTTCATCCTTTTAGAATTTATGATTTATGGAACCAGGATGTTAGACCCAAAAGCCTTTGTTCTCATTCATGTTAAGAACTTCTGGTTTCATTTATTTTAGTATAAGGCCCTATACATACTCTTCCCCTACTCTCCCTAACTGTGGATAGCTAATAAACAAAGACGATGTTGTAGACTTTGTAAAAAGATTCCTTTAGAGCAAAAATTATAAATATAGATGCTCTTTCACCAAAAGTCCTGCATTAAGCATACTTAGGGTCTTAAAGGTGTTTAGAACAAAGTTTTCCTTTTAACCAAGGGTAAGAAGAACTAAGAACAATGTCAATCCAAGGTGGAGCCCAGCAGGGAAGCACCCTTCCTGGAAGGAGAACTTAGGTTGCCACTGGCCCCCATCCTCACGGGTGCCTTACCAGCTCACACTCCTGGCTGTAGGGCTGCACAGAGAGGATGTTCTCAATCCAGCCTGGTGTTGCTGTTTCCAGGTAGTAAATGTCATACACGTAGTCTTCTTGCTTTTGTTCCTCCTGCTGCCTACCTGCCGGTCCAGCCTCAGACAGGGTCAGTCGCTCCCGGATCAACTCTACAGAATTGCAGAGGATCACATCCGGGTCAGATGTCTGCAGAGAAAACGCAGGTGACATGTGCATGACCCAGACCATAATTATTCCAAGAGGAGGAAACTAAGAGTTGGATGCCAGAAACTTCTCTGTGGTACTATGTTGTGTCCAAGATTTATTATGCCCATGGGTAGCTAGTCTTAATTAGTGTATGGTTCTTCTGAGACAGAAGCCTACAAGAAAGCCGCTGCTTTTACTGGTTTTCTGAGTTCCTCTGAGGGAGCCTCTCCCCTTGAGGATGCGCAAGCCGTTAGCAGCACATTCATGATGGATCTTGAAATGGGTCTGTGCTTTGTGCTCTCCAATATGGGATGCCACTGAAAGAAGGGGTGGTTTTAGCTGTGCCACAATGCCAGCTCCTCTTTGCATTTTTAAGTTTTTCTGTTAAATGATACTTGATTTGCTTAAAATTTAAATGCCAACCGAAAAGAGACAACTTCAATCTCGGGCAAAAAGAATGTCATTAATTGTTATTTCAAAAGCAGAGAAAGCTTCCCTGCACCGGTTCACTCCTCAAATGTCTGCAATAGGCTGGGCTGAAGCCAAAGCTGGGAACTCAGTCTCCCACATGGGGAGCAGGGATCCCAGTACTTGAGCCATCATTGCTGTCTCCCAAGGATCTGCTGAGCAGGCAGCTGGGACCTGGGAATTCTGGGATGCGATGTGGACATCCTAACCACTAGGCTAAATACCACCTCATTGTTAACTATAAAATCTAATTTCCTTAGATTTTAGCATGGCTTTAGACCTAAACACCATTAATAAGTTTATGTCAGTTTTGGATTCATGTATTTAAAAACAGACCCATGGGGGTCAGCCTTGTGCTAGAGTAGTAGGTTAAGCTGCCATATACCTGCATCCCTTATCAGATGCCAGTTGGAGTTCTGACTGCTTTCTTCCAATCCAGCTCCTTGTTGCTTCTGTTAGACTTGGATGGAGTTCCTTTTCCTAGCACCTGGCTTGGACTTAACCCAGCCAGGGTTGTGGCAGCCATTTGGGAAGTAAAGCAGCAGATTGAAAATCTCTGTTTCTCTATGGGCTGGAAAGCAGTCGAGGAAGGCCCAAAGGTTTGGGACCCTACACCCGTGTGGGAGACCAGGAAGAAAGAAGAAGCTCCTGGCTCCTGATCAGCTTGGCTGGCTGCTGCAGCCACTTGGGGAGTGAACCAGTGGATGGAAGATCTTTCTGTCTTTTCTCTCTGTACATTTGCCTTTCCAATAAAATAAAATAAATCTTCAAAAAAAGTACAGATTACCCGTAACTGATGACTGATACTCAGAATTAATTCCTTTGCCACCTTTTAATCCTTTTTATCTGCTCTATTTTGATCCCATGATTCCTTCGTCTTTAGTCAAGATGAAAAGCAATGTCATCAAAAGCACATTTATGTATTTGAAAGGCAAAGTGACAGAAAATGGGAGAGATGGAGAAAGTGATCGTTAGCCCACTGCTTCACTGTCCCACCGTGCCCAAATGACTGGAGCCCGGAGCCCCACCTGGGTCTCCCACGTCGGGGGCAGTGGCCAAGTTTTTGAGGCAACCTCCCCAGGCTTTCACAGGCCTGTCAGTGCGGACATGGGTTGGCAGCGAAGCAGCTGGCACCAGAACCACCGGGCCGCCAAGGCGCCGGCGGGACTGGCAGCGGCTGAACTCGGGCGGCCCCACGGCACTGTCACCGCACAGCTCGCGGCCGTCCCCGGGAGAGCCCTCCATGCCACGGGGCCAGTGAGCTTCTTCAGCAACCGCCACCCTGCCCCGGCAGCGCCCGCCCCCGAGCGTACTTACCCGGCAGGAGTCCGCCGCAGCCTTCGCTTCTCCCTCCTCGTGGACCAGGTCGAGGAGCTGGAAGTCTGCGTCCGGCGCGGCCTCGGGCTCGGCGCCGGCGGCGCTCCCCAAGGCTCGGTGGCTGCAGACCACCCGGTAGCGGCCCTCTCGGCGGACCTCCCGAATGGACGCGCGGAGATCGCGGCGGATCCGCTTCTGGCTGCTCCGCGAAGGGCGCAGCGCCTCGCGCAGGAGGTGCTGGACCGGCTGCTCCTGAGGAAGGCGACCGGGTCAGGGCGGCCGGTCCCAAGATGCCCTCCACCACCACACCTCCCCGACCCGTACCTGCGAGCGCACAGTGGCCACCAACTGGAAGACATTCTTCTCGGCCGCTCTCTCTGCACCTTCCCGTCCCTCCGAGGCAGCCGGTTCGACCACGCCGCCGCGGAGACGTTTACACGCGAGGACAAGGGCCTCGGCGGGCTCCGCAGTGCGCTTCCGCTTAACGCGCAGCACCGCCATCCTCCCGGCCTCCATAGCGGCGCGGCGCGGAGCACTGTGGGAACGCGGGGAATGCCCTCAAGTGGCGCCCTAGGCCCCGCCCAGGCCCCGCCCTCTGACGCACGTGCCCCGCCCCCCGCACGCCGGCCGCGGCGACACGGCGGCGGAGGCGGAAGCGAGGTCCGCGACGCGCGAGGCGGGTGAGGTGCTGGGTCGACAGGCCGGTGCGGGGTGCCGTGGAGGCCTCGGTGCACTGCGCATCGTGTCCTCGGACTGCGGCGGAGGGGCCTCGCGGGGGCGGACTGGGGACGCCAGCGCGCGTCCCTGTGGGACCTCGGTCCGCGTGGAGCGCCCCGGCCCGCGGGCAGGTGGGATGTCGGCGGTTCTGGGCCGACGGCGGGGCACGTCTGCGGGAGCGGGCTCACAGCGCTCCCCTCAAGGCCGAGCGAGCCAGGCCCCGTCCTTGGCCCCCGCGACGGGCCGCCAGCCTTCAGGGAACTGCAGTCACTGTTCTGAGTAGTTAACTCAGAGTAGTTTAACCTGGCTTGTCTGGGAGACTGACGTTTAAATGCCCTCTGTTAAAAAAAAAAAAAATTCTTCCCATTACTGTGTTCACCTGTTTGGAACGCAGTATAGTCCCTATTACTGAAGGCCCCTCTGTCCTGTTTATAGTGTCCAGTCTCTTAACACAGTGCCTGCGACCTACAGAAGGTGCTTCAATGTGGAAAAGAGGGGGATGGCTTCCTAAATCCGACCACTAAGATTTTAGGGTTTGTCTGTGTGGATTTCATTCATTCTGCTAAGGCTGGAGCTGAGCTGATTGGAAGCTGGGTCTCCCGCAAGGGTGCGGGACCCAATCCCTTGGGCTATCTCCTACTGTCCCAGCCACCAGCAGGCAGGTGGATTGGAAGTGGAGCCACTCAAACAGTGCCAATATAGGACGTCCTTGACTGCTTTCCCAGGCCACAAGCAGGGAGCTGGAAGGGAAGCGGGATCGCTGGGATTAGAACCCATACCCATATGGGATCCTGGCATATTTAAGGCAAAGACTTTATGCTGTCGCACTGGGACCCATACATTTTTTTTAAAAAATGTGTTTATTTGCTGGAAATTTACTATCCACTGGCTCACTTCCCACGAGGTTTCAGTGGCTGGGACTGAGCCACACTAAAGCCGGGAGCCAGGAACTCCGTCTGATATCCCGTGTGAGTAACTAGAATGCAGACATTTCAGCCATCTTCTGCTTTTCCAGGCATACTGGGGAGCTTCTCCAGAAGTGGAACGGCTGGGACTCAAACCAGTTCCTGTGTGAGAGACTGGCATTGCCTGGTGGTGGTGTTACACACTGCACCACAATACTGGCTCATCCAGTTTTATGAATGGATTGTAGTTTTTGGTATTATTTTTCGAATGTAATACCAATAACTCTTGCTGACAAGAATAAAATGTTGATTAGCAAATACTTTCAGTGGCTTTGGGGTTTTTGTTCATTTCTTAATGTTTACGTTTCCCATTGTTTTCTTGTCTCTGTACCCTCCCCCGCCCCAACTCCCATTTTGGGACATCATGATCTGGAAAGATCTGTGTCCACTCGATGTGTCTGTAAAGAAGTGAACTGGCCAGGCTACTTTTCTTTGAGCAAACCGGGAGCCATGAAAGTCTTCTGCGGCCGGGCCAACCCCACCACGGGGTCTGTGGAGTGGCTGGAGGAAGATGAGCACTATGACTACCACCAGGAGATTGCAAGGTAACGGGGCTGGCCGCGTGGGGCGCTGGATCGCAAAGGATGCCTGGGCATGCGTGCTAGGTGGCTGAAGCCATCCGTGGTCAGCAAACATGCTGAGACCAGAGGGTATGCAGTGACCTCAGCAGAGTCTAAAAGTCTGGTTAGTGGAACCAAGAGGAGCCAAGCATCTTGAACATAATGAGGAAAGTGAAGTCTGAAGAGTAAGGGTTGTATGTGAACTTTGAGCTGAGCCAGTTGGGGGAATGCCCAGTATGTCATTGTCTGATGAAAGACACTGCTGAGAGGTTTGTGGGCTTTGGTGGTGTGTTGTGGCAGATTAAGCTGCTGCCTGGGATACTGGCATCCCATGTGGGAGCTGGTGAAGTCCTTACTGCTCCTTTTGTGACCTGTCTCCCTACTAATGCTACTGGAAAGGTGGAAGATGGACCAAGTCCATCCACAGAGAGGAATGTCTTCCGTCTGATGGGTCATTCCCCAAGTGGCTGCAATGGCTGGTTCCAAGACTTTGGGCCATCTTTGACTGCTTTCCCAGGCCACAAGCGGGGAGCTGAATGGGAAGCCGGGCAGCCAGGATTAGAACCAGCGCTCATATGGGATCCCGGTGCGTTCAAGGTGAGGACTGTAGCCACTAGGCCGCTGCACTGGGCTTTCCTCCTCCTTTTAAATAAATGAATCTTAAAAAAAAAAAAAAAAAGAGCTAGAGCATGATGCTATGGCTCAGTGGCTAAATCCTTACCTTGCTTATGCCAGGATCCCATATAGGGTATTGGTTTATGTCCCTGCTGCCCCACTTCTGCAGCTCCCTGCTTATGGCCCAAAGCCTTGGGACCATGCTGTGCTTACACTTGCCTTTTCTGCCACACCTCTCCTGAGTGTATTATCTGTGGTTATCATAGGGTGCAGCTGTGTAGAAGATTAGGCCAATTATGAGGCAAAGCTGGCCCAAGTTGTCCTGGGAGGACCCTGTGTGTATGTGATTGGAGGCATCAGTGGCTGTGCAAGTGCTGTCACTGAGTCTCCCCACAGCTTTTCGGGTGTGAGATTATCTGTGTTGAGCTGTTTTTCTGTAGTGCAGTAGAATGCAGCGGATAGTACTTTACCACAACTGACACGGTCCGATCCTCTTAGAAACGCATTTGTGTTGTGTTGATGCAGGTCGTCTTTAGCAGAAGTTCCTGACCTGTCTCTTGTTTTCTAGGTCATCCTACGCAGATATGCTGCATGACAAAGACAGAGTGAGTATAAAAGGAAACCGTTATCTTGACACCGTGTTAACGATTTTGGACTGTTGTCAGGTCAGAAGCTCCTGGGAGCTTCTGTGTCACAATGGTGCACACTGCACAATGTTGCAAGGTCAGGAGTTATGGGAGGCTCAGCCTGGCTCTGGCTCTGGTTCTGGTTCTGCCTTGGTTTTAATTATTTTTTTTTTAACTGTGCTTCAGATATCGTTCAGATTAAGAGATATGGATAGTGGTTGATTTCTGTTGTTACTCTAGTAAAAACTCTAATTATGTGGCATCTCACATGCATAGTCAGCCTGTGATTTTAAAATCTTATCTGTAATCTCTAGATGAGTCCTCTTACAGGACTGTGTTTTCCTCAGTATGCTTTTATGCTCACTGGAGAATTACATTTCTGATTTTCTCTTCCATGCTTGTGTTTTGCCTGATCTGTGGAGCAATATAGGTCTGGTCTTAGGGTGTTTTGCAGCCTAGCGTTCCTTGATCTCCCAGACTGCTTGCTGGTTTGCCATGTCTGAATGGTTCAGAAGCTGGGAAGTTTGAGGTGGACGGATGCAAAGGGAAGCCCTGAAACCCAGTAGGCAGGAGAGGTTTCAGGGCAGGTGGTAGGGATGTCTCCTTCACCTGAGCCTGGCTGGAAGCTCAAGGCAAAGGGCTGCGTAGTATCTTCAGTTGCCGGCCCCATCACAGTGGCTGGGTGGCTGGAGGCCTCGCTCATTTCTATCATGTGCTGAGCGTGTGGGGAATTGCAGAACATTGTTCTTGACTATTGGCTAATCCCATCTAGTTTAATGGTCTGGAGCGTCGCAGGGGACTCGTGGGGGCTGGAGTTTTTCTCAGTGTAGCATGATGTGCAGAGAGGGTCCTTCTTTGCCCCAGCCTCCAGGGGATCTCGGCAGTGGTCTTGCCATGCAAGCAGTCAGCTGTTTGGAAGGGTGGCTCCCTTGTCCTGTGAGCCTGTACTCGGTCGCAAGCCCTGATCGCATTGCCCCACGGTCCAGCTCAGCCCTGGTCTGCGTCCTTACATGTGGCTGACCAGAGGGTCCTTTTTTTTTTTTTAACTGTTTATTTTCATCCACTGGAGACTGGTCTACTCTATAGATGCTTGCAACAACCAGAGCTGAGCTAGGCTAAAGCCACAAGCTCCGACTCTGAGTCTCTCAAATACTTGAGTCACCATCTGCTTCCTCCAACGATGCATTAACAGGAAGCTGGAGTGGAAGTGGAATAGCCAGAACTCCCTCCAGCACTGCAGTTGGCACTCTGATGTGTGGGCACCCATGTGGCAGCTTAAGTGCCTGTGCCATGGTGGCTGCTCACCAACGGGTTGTTCTGAGATACCAGTCTGACCATATGCTTTTCTACTAAAACCCTTTGGTGACATCTGAGTGCTTTCAAGATAAAACCTACATGTGTCTGAAAAATGTGTCTGGCTTCTGCTGTCCCCTACCCAGTGTGACACAGATGAGGAAATTTAATAGCAACTTGGTGGGAACTAAGATAAATATACTCTCCAGGCCTACTCAGCATAGACCAGCCGGTGTTCTTCCTACAGAAGCCAGAAAGACCGGGGGATCACAGCTGACACTGCTGTTGCCAACCAGGATGCTAGAATGGAAACTCTTTCTTAAAATAAATGGAACAGGGGGGCTGGTGGTGCCTTATCCCATATCAGAGTGCAGCTGTTCCACTTCCAGCCTAGATTCCTGCTAGTGCACCTATGAAGGCAGAGGAAGGGGTGCAAATACTAGGACCACTGCATTTTTTCTTTTTAAAAAAATTTTGGGGGCCCGGCGTGGTGGCACAGTGGTTAAGGTCCTCGCCTTGCACGCCCGGGATCCCATATGGGCGCCGGTTCTATCCCGGCAGCCCCACTTCCCTTCCAGCTCCCCGCCTGTGGCCCGGGAAAGCAGTCGAGGACAGCCCAAAGCTTTGGGACCCTGCACCCGTGTGGGAGACCCGGAAGAGGCTCCTGGCTTCGGATCGGCATAGTATCGGCCGTTGCACTCACTTGGGGAGTGAATCATCGGACGGAAGATCTTCCTCTCTGTCTCTCCTCTCTGTGTATCTGCCTTTCCAATGAACAAATAATAAAAATAAATCTTTAAAAAAATTTTTTTGATGTATTTGAAAGTCAACAGTTACAGAGAAGGAGTAACAGAAACAGAGATCTTTCATCTGCTAATTCACTCTGCAGATGGCTCAACACCAAGAGCTGGGTCAGTCTAAAGCTGAAAGTTAGAAGCCAGAAGCCGGGAGCTTCTCCTGGGTCTCCCACATGAATACAAAGGCCTAAACACTTGAGCTATTCTCTACTGCTTTCTTAGGCACGTTAGTAGAGCCTGGGATTCAAATTGGCATTCATATGGGGTGCCAGTGCCACAACCTGCAGCTTTATTCACTGTGCTACAGCCCCAGCACCTGTTCGAATGAATGGGAAACCCATATTGGCCCCTGCCTTTGGCTTAGTCCAGCTTGGGCTATTTGTGATCATTTTGGGAGTGAATTAGCACATGGAAAATACTTGTCTCTCTTCCTTTTTAATAAATCAACTTAATAAATAATCTTTTTTAAATAAATAAAGTAATTGGTTTGAAATTAATTAATTTTTCCCTTTCTTTTAGAATGTGAAGTACTACCAGGGTATCCGGGCAGCTGTGAGCAGGGTGAAGGACAGAGGACAGAAGGCTGTGGTCCTTGACATTGGCACTGGCACAGGACTCTTGTCCATGATGGCGGTCACAGCAGGTGCCGACTTCTGCTATGCAGTTGAGGTGAGCCATGCTCTTCAGGTGTGTGTCCTGCACCTTCTGAGAAGTCCCAGGCTTGCTCTTTCCCTGTATGCTCTGTCTCTGACACCACCGAGGGCTCGCCGGACTCCAGCACAGGGCCGGCCTCCAAGCATGAGTCACATGCAACTCCTGGCTCCGGGAGTGTGCTTTGTCTTCTGCAAACAGGAGCTCTCAGCCCTGACTGCACAACAGAAATGGAGGGGATGTTTTAAAAGCTCCTTGGCACCTTTACACTGCTCCTGACCTTCACTTCCCTCTGAGATGGGTCTAGTTTTACTGGACTGAGGCTCGGTGTGGGGTTTTCAGCAAGGTTGAGAGTCACTGCCTTCAGTGTCTCCGTCTCATGCGCTCAGTGACCAGCTGTGACCAGGGCCTTGGTGTTGGACAGTATAGCTATAGATTTGCATCATGCAGCAAGTTTTATTGAATTGTGGTTTTCATTTTATTTAATAAATTACAGGTAAATAGCTACATGTAACTTCCATATTGGACAGCACAGGTTTACAAGTTGAGCTGAAGGGCCTGGCATTGTGGCACAATGGACTACGCTGTAATCTCAGTATAACATTCAGGAATGCCAGTTCAAATTCTAGCTGCCCTATATCCTATCCTGCTGCCCTATATCCTACTGCTGCACCTGGGAAGGCAGCAAAAGATGTTCCTGACACCTTGGACCCCTAAAAGCAGGTTGGAGTTCCTGGCTCCAGGCCTTGGCCTGGCCCAGCTCTAGCTGTTGGAACCATTTGGAGAGAGATCTCCCCCCATTCTCTTTCCTTCCCTCCCCTCTCTCCCGCTTTCTCATTTTGTATTTTAAATAAATATATATTTTAAAAAACATTGTTGTCATTTTTCCCCAAGTGGAATTAGAAGAGGACCGAGAATAAGCTGTTGGGCTGGCCATTAGGAGGATATTTGAGTAGGATTAGGAGTGGGTAGAACCTCAGCCATTACACAACAGGGTGGAGACTTCACTGTTATGTGCTTGATAAAGGAGGACTCTGGGGAATGTTCCTTATTTATTTGAAAGGCAGAGGGACAGAGTGGGAAAGAACAAGATCTTGGAGTCTGAAGCCATCAAAGCCAGGAACTCGGAATTCCTGCAGGTCTCCCACATGGGTGTCAGGGCTCAGGTACCCAGGCAATGTTGTACTGCGTTCCCCAGCAGGGGCTGGATCAGAAGCTTAACAGCCAGGACTCAGTGAACACCTTGATGTGGAAGGCTGGGATTGAAAGTGGTGGCTCAGCCTGCTGTACTGCAGCACTGGCCTCAGTGATTTCCTCAGCAAGTGCCCCAAAGTCACCTCACATTCTTAGGATTAGGGGCCCATTGTGATGGCTCAGTGGCTAAAATCCTTACCTTCCATGTACTGGGATCCCAGTTCATGTCCCAGCTGCTCCTCTTCCTGTCTGGCTCCCTATTTGTGGCCTATGAAAGCGGCAGAGAATGGCCCAAAGCCTGGGGACCCTGTACCTGCATGCAAGACATAGAGGAGGCTCCTGGCTCTTGTCTTTGGATCAACTCAGCTCCGACTGTTATGGCCACTTGGGGAGTGAACCAGTGGACAGATCTTTGTCTTCTTCTTTCTGCGATTCTCCCTTTCTAATAAAAATAAATGAATCTTAAAAACAAAAAAAATTACCAGACCAGCAATGTGGTATGACCCCCACCGCAACAGGATACCACATAAACACCAGTTCAAGACCTGGCTGCTCCATTTTCCATCCAGCTTCCTGCTAGTATACCTAGGAAGTCAATGAAGAATGGCTCCAGTGTTTGGGCCCCTGCACCCCTATGGGAGATGGCAGAGGAGGCTCTGACTTTGACCTGGCCCAGCCTTGGGAATTTTGGTCATTTAGAAAGTGAGGTGCAGAGGCCTGAGGCTTTGGTCTGTTCTCTGCTGCTTTACCAAGCCATTTGCAGGGAATTGGATCTGCAGTGGAATAGCAAGAACTTGAACTGGTGCTTATATCGGATGCTGACACTACAGGCTGAATATTATGATGCAAAGCTATTATGCAAGCCTCTCTCTTTTCTGTAATTCTGTCCAATAAAAATAAATAAACCTTTTAAAAAAAAAAAAAGGTATGGACAGCAGTCCGGGACCTGTGTTGGTTTCAGGGTTCGTTCCTTCAGAAGCTCAGAGGTGTCAGACCTCACAGCTTTTTTCTTTGCTGTTGGTGCTGCATGGCACAGATGGTTGCTTTGTGAGGCAAGCCCTCTTGCTGAGTCTAGTGTGGCAGTGACACCTAGTGCTCTAACTAGGTAGTGCAGGGATCCCGTGTCTGATGGAATAGGACCTGCTAGCCACAAATGAAACCGGACTCATCTTTTTAAGTTCATTCTCAAGACGTATTTGGAGAATAAAGTTAGTAAGCTGACAAATGCTAGGACTAGAATCTTGCCAGTAACGTGAGTGCTAGAATGTTATTTGATTTATTGTTTCTTCCGATTTCTAGGTTTTCAAGCCAATGGCTGATGCTGCTGTGAAAATTGTGGAGAAAAATGGCTTCAGTGATAAGATTAAGATTATCAACAAGCATTCCACTGAGGTGACTGTGGGGCCAGGTGAGATCTGCACATTTTCTGGCATGAGCTTCTCGTGCTCTTGTGTGAAGAGCAAAGCTTTTTTTCAACAACATGCGATCATTTTGAGTTTATTGCACGCTTATGGGACCTGTGTGTGGTGGTCTTTGCTTTTTTGTAAAATTTCCCTGAATGGTCAGCCCCCTGGCTCTGGTCTAGGCACCCAGCACTGAGTGCCCTGCACTGTCACTCCTGGTTACCCACTAAGGGGGCACCCTTGGAGTCGGCTTTCTGTCACCCAGCGTGCGATTGCCGAGACCATGTGCCGTGGTCTGTGTCTCGGCCACTCGGGCTCTGCAGCTCAGCAGTGTCGTCCAGGTGACTCACGCTGCAGGAGGCCATCAGAGTCCTCTCCTGCCCAGTCTGGTCTGCTCGTCATGCCCCTGGCGACCTGGGCATCGCTTTCTTTCTCCAAGAGTTATCCGTTTGAAAGGCAGGGAGAGGGGAGCCAGGCAGTCTGAGAGCAGCAGGAATTGGGTGTTACTCTTACCTACTCTGTTCACTCCCCAGAGGCCCACAACGGCCTGGGCGAAGCAGGCTGCAGGTGGGAGCCAGGAAGTTCCCCCAGCTCTCCCACTTGGGTAGCAGCAACCCAAGTACAGGGTAAGGTTCTGCATGGCCAAAAGACATTCATGTAGCTCTAAGCTGAGCAATATCCAGAGCTCGCAGAGGACATAAAGCCTGCAAGTGCTGGTCAGCCAGGTCAGAAAATCCTCACTGAGCAGCCAGGTGCTTGGCAGAAACACTGCTCGGCCCACCCCTCTTCAGTCTGGCTCAGGAATCCTTAGGGCAGTGGTCCTCCATGTGGGGACTCTGCCCTGCCGCCCCCTTTCCCCAGGACATGTGGCCATATCTAGGTATGCTTCACGCTGGCACAGATGATAGTGGGGTGGGGGTCCTGCTACCTCCCACACTGTTCAGGACTGCTTCCCACTACAGAAATAATCAGACCCTAAGTATCAACAGGGCTACTACTGAGAAGCCCCAGCTTAAGGCTGCTCCAACTCTGCTCCAAACAAGCTCTAAAACAGGTTTTGGGCCTGGCACCATGGTCTAGTGGCTAAAGTCCTCGCCTTGAACGTTCTGGGATCCCATATGGGCACCAGTTTTTATCCCGGCAGCTCTACTTCCCATCTACTTGTGGCCTGGGAAAGCAGTCAAGGACGGCCCAAAGCCTTGGGACCCTGCACCCACGTGGGAGACCTAGAGGAGGTTCCTGGCTCCTGGCTTCGGGTTGGTGCAGCACTGGCCGTTGTGGCCACTTGGAGAGTGAATCATCAGATAAAAGATTTTGCTCTCTGTCTCTCCTTCTCTCTGTATGTCTGACTTTCCAATAAAATTTTTTAAAAAAATAGTCAATAGGCAAAGAAGTAAAATATGACCCAAAACCAAGATAATAATAAGCCAACAGAAGAAACCCAGAAAAGACAAGGGTGGAGAAATGGAAGATAAAGATGCTAAAATGGTGACCATAAATGTTACTTAGAAGAAAATGTGAACATGAGTAATGGGGCAAATTGACAAAGTATCTAAAAGGGGCTTTTAGAGTTTAAAAAAAAAACCACAGTATCAGGAACAGTTCAAGGACAGGTGTTGCTGCACACGGGGCTGAGCTGCTGCCCAGGATGCCCATGTTATATATCAGCGTTCCTGATTCAGATCCCAGATGTTTCCAGCCTCCAGTCCAGCTTCCTGATGATGATTCTGGGAGACAGAAGATTATGGTCCAAGTACTTGGGTTGCTGCTACCCAAGTGGGAGAGCTGGGGGAACTTCCTGGCTCCCACCTGCAGCCTGCTTCGCCCAGGCCGTTGTGGGCCTCTGGGGAGTGAACAGAGTAGGTAAGAATAACACCCAATTCCTGCTGCTCTCAGACTGCCTGGCTCCCCTCTCCCTGCCTTTCAAACGGATAACTCTTGGAGAAAGAAAGCGATGCCCAGGTCGCCAGGGGCATGACGAGCAGACCAGACTGGGCAGGAGAGGACTCTGATGGCCTCCTGCAGCGTGAGTCACCTGGACGACACTGCTGAGCTGCAGAGCCCGAGTGGCCGAGACATAGACCACGGCACATGGTCTCGGCAGTCGCACGCTGGGTGACAGAAAGCCGACTCAAGGGTGCCCCCTTAGTGGGTAACCAGGAGAGACAGTGCAGGGCACTCAGTGCTAATCTCTTGGCACTGCACGTGCTCTCTCACCCATGGACAGTGGTCAGTGAGGTTCTCCCTTTCTGAAAACTGAAGCGGCCACTGGGCTCACTTGGCTCATTTTTCTTGTGGGAAGCAGACTGTTGTCTCGTCCTGCATCTGAAAAGGTTTCTCTTTTTATCTCTTCTAGATTTCCAGTTGTTGGGAGTGGGAGAGTGGTGGGTATCCTCCCACTTGCTCCACTAGGGTAGCAGTGGAGTTGATTTGTTTGGTGTTTTTTCTGTCCAGCACAGAGCCCTTGGAGATCCATGTTCAGGGCCGCCTCTGCCCTACAGGCTCCTGTGTGCTTTCCTAATGATTTCCCTTTGTAATACTCAGCACTGCAGTGATTAAATTGTTATATAGTTGTGTTTGATGTCTGTGTTCCCACATGAGCGTGTGAACTGTGCAGGTCTTACTCAGGATTCCATTCTCTTACTTGCTCAGAGCCTTGTCAGCCTTGTGCGGTCCACAGCCCCTCAGATTTGGAAAATTACAAATTTAATGGGAATTTCATTTGCAGCCCAGCAGCACGTGTTGTGTTTGCTGGAATGGGTGCCTGCTTGCTTCTCTTTGTGTCCATCCCTTGCTGCTTTGCTGTATGGGTCAGTCAGTCCTGCCCAAAACATGTTCCAGTCTTGTTTCTCCTTCTGTGCTCCTTCCGCTTCTGCACGTGTTTCCTCCACGTTCCTGTTCTCAGGCCTTTGAAGAAATGTCATCGCAGCTCGTTCTGTTCCTCTGAGATGGACTGCATATGCCCGGGGAGCGGCATCTGTTCATCCCTCCTGCTATTGACAGAGATACACAAAGGAAGCCGTGAGGCAGCTGCCCTCTCAGGTCTCCTTGGCACTGTCAGCACTCGCTGTAAACACCAGGCTTCTCCTAGGTGTTTTAAGATTCACTGGGTCAGAACACTTTATTTTTAGTTTAATGAAGCAGATTTGCCCAGTAAATCATTTTAAGCTCCATAATTGGCTTAAAAATGAAACCAGGAGATAGAATTAGCAGGGCTGGGTGATTGGCTGTGGAGTGACAGAAAAGCAAGCTAATGTTTGTTGACAATTGCTCACTGGCCTGCCAAGCATTGATGTGGGCACTGGGGTGCAGTGGTGAGCAGGTGGTCAGGGACTCTGTGACTGAAGCTCCTAAATGATGTCCAGGTTTCTGAAGTGTATGCCTGGGGTCTGCCAGTCACTGGGGCTGAAATCTGGGGAGGGGTTGAGGGTGGAGAGGGGGGTGAGGCTGTGGAGTGGGTCAGAGCTCATTTTAGAGGTGATGCAAGTAATAGAATGGACCCAAAGCTCAGGGTTTGTCCACTCACCCCCATCTTTGACCCCTTTCCTGTTGCTTTTGTGTCGCATCTATGAGTCTTGTTCCCTGTGTAGATGATGAGTGAGACCTGTCAGGTTGTAATCCATGAGCCATTAGAATGTTTATAGTTCATTCTTCATAGTGAACAGCCCCTTCCAAAGTCTGTCTGCTTTCTTGGCTCATTAACAGTTATAATTAACATTACATTACAGTGGTTTAGAGAAATGGAGTTGACATACAGAATCTTCCAGAACTGTCCTGTCCTAAAACAGCAGTCATTTGGGAGCTTATTTGGTGGCCTGACACTAAGTTAATTAAGGGGATTTATTATAAGGAATCTGGGGCATCTAAATCATGGATTTCGATTTTTGGAGATGCAGCCAAGCGAGGGTGAGTGGGAGGGTCATTAGACAGCCTCTTGGCTTGATGTTCTCTTCCTCTCTTTGCAACCAAATACCAGCCTTCACTTTTTGCTTTTTAACTAAATTTTTTCCCTAATTTCTGTAGTTAATATTTTATTTATTTGTTTCTCTCCAGTTGCTAATCAGGATGAAACAATGTCTGTATATTTGGTTGGTGTATGGTCTGTTTTGAATGACCTGTTTTTATTTTACCGTGTTTCTTGTTGGATGTTACTAGTTTTCTTTTTCCTAGTTCTTACTACCAATTTAAAATGTGCAGAATAAAGTGAAAAGGTAAAAACGAAAAATTCCCATAGTCTGGACTTTCCAGGTGTGAACATGTTTCCAAACACACGAACGGGTGTATATTTTGCGGAACCATGGGAAAGTCAGGTGAAGACACTGTACTGCTGCCCAGTGCTTCAGCATCTGTGTGTGTGATCAGTGTAATGACCACATGGCCTCTCACCTTTCATGGATTTGGTGTAAATATTTTCCCTGGCCTGTCTCACTCTAGTTCTGTTTCTTTGTTCTCCTCAGATGGTGACATGCCATGTCGTGCCAACATCCTGATTACAGAGCTGTTTGACACGGAGCTGATCGGAGAAGGGGCGCTGCCTTCTTATGAACACGCACACAAGCATCTCGTGCAGGTAGCGGATCCCCAGCTGCCCTATGTCTGTGGCTGTCATCTCAGTGAAGCTCAGCCTAGCCTCAGCCCTCAGTGTCTCCCCAGGCACATGGGTCATTTATGTTCTCACTACCTCAGAGGCTGTGGCTCAGAAGGCCAGAGGTATTAAGGGAGAAAGACCCAGTGCGTGTCATTCCTGTGCAGGAGCAACTGTGTGTGTCCTCACACTGGTGCCCAGTGTAGAGACTGAGGTTGGAGGAAAACTGGGCTAAGTACTTGAGCAGGACCTGGAGATACCAGCACTGCAAGTGACGGTGGACAGTTGTCCCTTGCACTTGGCCATGAGGAGCTTCTGGTGTCCTGACAAGCACCACACTCAGGAGTCAGACTCTGGTACACGTGTTAAGGTGTTGGTTGGGTTCCCCACCTTCCCTGTCCGAGTGCCTGGGTTTATGTCTTGGCTCTGCTTCTGATCCAGCTGCTCACGCACACACTGGGAGCCAGCAAGTGATGGCTCAGATACCCAAGTCTCTGCCACCCAAGTGGGAGAACTGAATTGAGTTTCAGTCTCCTGTTTTTGGCTTGGCCCAGCCAGCTGTTGCAGGGCTTTCAAGAAGTGAGCTAATGGATAGAGTGCTTGCTTTGTCTCTGTTCTGTCTCTGAATCTTTCTCTTTTGAAGAAGAGGAAGAAGAAGAGTTAAAAGCCACACTGAAGGTTGTCCTGTCCTGGGGCCAGGTTACTGCTCAGTAAGACTAGGATCCTTTCTTCCAAGTAATGCACAAGTTCGGCATGGTGACAGATAGGGTGTGTGTGTGTATGTGTGTGTGTGTGTGTGTGTGTGTGTGTGTGTTTAAGATTTATTTAATTTTTGTTGGAAAGTCAGATATGCAGAGTAGAGGAAAGATCTTCTATCCGATGGTTCACTCTCCAAGTGACTGCAGTGGCCAGCAGCTGAGCCAATCTGAAGCCAGGAGCCAGGAGCTTCTTCTGGGTCTCCCACGTGGGTGCAGGGACCCAAAGCTTTGGGCCATCCTCAACTGCTTTCCCAGGTCACAAGCAGAGAGCTGGATGGGAAGTGGGGCTGCTGGGATTAGAATCGGGGTCTGCTCTCTTAAGCCCTTAAAGTGCCGAGAGCTTGGACTTTATCTGGCCTAAATCATTTTAGGCATTGTATGTATACTTTTGTGAAATCTAGTTCCTTTTCCTTTTCTTTTCCCTATCTCTAGAGCTTAGGGCTGAAAACACTTTACTGTCCTAATAGTGATGTGGCTTTAAATGTTGCTAAAGATTTATTAGTTATTTGTTTATTTGAAATAGTTAAAGGAGACAGATCTTCCATCACTGGTTTACTTCCCAAGTGGCCACAGTGGCCAGGGCAAAGCCAAGCTGAAGCTAAGAGTCTCATCCAGGTGTCCGCAGATATGGCAGGGTCCAACCACTTGGGACATCTTTTGCTGCTTTTCCAAGCTATTGGCAGGAAGGGAGCTAGATTGAAAGTGGAGCAGCTAGGACACGAGCCCATACCCATATTAGATTGTGGTGTCACAGCAGCTTTCCTAGCTATACCACAACGCTGGTCCCAGTAACTTTTTTAACCAGTGAGATTGCCTATGGTTCCGTGTACTGATTGGTTGTCCTTTTGTTTGTAATGTGACCTTAGGAGAACTGTGAGGCTGTGCCGCACCGGGCCACCATATACGCACAGTTGGTGGAGTCGAGAAAGATGTGGTCGTGGAACAAGCTGTTCCCCATCTGCATTCACACCAGCCGTGGGGAGCAAATCATTAATCCTCCCGCAGAGCTGGACAGGTGCCCCGGTGCACCCTCTGTCTATGACATACAGCTGAACCAAGTGTCACCCGCCGACTTCACTGTCCTTAGCCACGTGCTGCCGATGTTCAGGTACTGAGGACCCACCTGAGTAATAGATCTTTGGGAGAACTAATGGAATTCAGAACCTTGGAGTTATTTTTTAAAGATTTTGTTTGCTTGCTTGTTTGTCTATTTATTTGAAATGTTATGGCTGGGGATGGGGGTGGTGGGCAGAGAGAGATTTTTCTGCTGGTTAACTCCCCAAATGGCTACAGTGACCAGAGCCAGGCCATTCCAAAGCCTGGAGTCAGGAGCTTCTTCCAGGTCTCCCAAGTAGGTGCCAGGGCCTAAGCACTTGGGCCTTTTCTGCTGCTCTCCCAGGTACATTGACAGGGAGCTGGATTGGAAGTGCAGCAGCCACAACTTGAGCTGGTGACCACATAGGATGCTGGGGCTGCAGGGGGCAGCTTTAACTGTTAGCATGGCTCCGGCCCCTGGAAGTTCTTTTAAGTGAGAAGGAGGCCTGGCTGGTGTCACCTGCTTGTGAAAGCCAGATTTTTTTGTTGTTGTTTTATTGCAACCAAGCAGCATTGTTGGTTAGGCCACTGCGGAAACTTGAAAGCAGAATGTGTGGGTTAAAGTACATTTATGTTCTTGGCTATTCTTCCACAGTGTGGACTTCAGCAAGCAAGTCAGTAGCTCAGCTGCCTGTCATAGTCAGCAGTTTGAACCTGTGGCATCTGGCCGGGCTCAGGTGGTCCTGTCCTGGTGGGATATTGAAATGGACCCTGAAGGGAAGATCAAGTGCACCATGGCCCCCTTCTGGGCACATTCGGATCCAGAAGGTCTCCAGGTAAGAGGCAGGAGCTGAGCATGTTTTCTTGTTGAACAGGAAACTTGCCATCCACTTTAGTTTGTGAGACAAGAGCAGGTTGAACTGCAGATTCTGTAGAATTCACAGGTAGAGGAGGAGGTTGTGTCAGAAGCAAAAGAGGAGTTAGAAAGATAAACACAGGCCCGCTTTGGTAAGGCAGACCTCTCAGTGTGAGTTCATGATCAGCACCCGTGGACACAGCAATACAAAAACTTCGCCTTTTTTTTTTTTTTAAGGTTTATTTATTTGAAAGTCAGAGTAACAGGAGAGAGAAGGGTCATTCTTCATTCACTGGTTCACTCCCCAAATGGCTGCAGTGGCTGGGACTATGCCAGGCCTAGCATCTTCCCAGACTCCCATATGGGTGCAGTGGTTCAAGCATTCAAGGCCATTTTCTGTTATTTCCCAGCTACATTAGCAGGGACCTGGCTTCCTAGCAGTGCTAGCATAGCCTAACCCCTGAGTCACCCTTGGGGCTCCGAGTTCACCTTCCCAGCTCAACACAGCATGAGCAGAGGACAGGAACTGCGGAAGAGGGGTGTGGCTGACTCTTAACCACATGCTCAAGTCTTCAGTTCCACTAAGATTAGAAGCAGTGAAACTCAACAGCCACAGCTTCCAGCTGCTGGTGAAAAAAGTTGAGAAAGCTTAGGGCCCTCTGTGTTGGAGAAGGAGCAGGGAAGTGAGTCCCTGGATGTCCCCATGGAAAGTGACCGTGCCCGCAGCTGCTTGAGCTCTGGATAGATGCATGCATGTGCAGAATGGTGTGTGGGGCACTCACCACAGCCCTGATTAGTCTGTCACCCTGCATCCTGTCCACGTGGGAGCTTTCATGCTGACATGGTAGAGGCCCAGAGCATGTTACCAGGTGGAACAAGGAGCAGAGCTGTGTCTGTTCAGCTGCTGCTGGTGTTAGTCATAGAAAGGATGTGAATTTGAATAGTACATGTGGACTGTGTATAAGACATCTTTAGACTTCACCAGAATTGGCTAAAAAAAAAAAAAAAAAGATTGCTTCTGGGAGAGAGACATGCTAACAATTAGAGGTGTATAGGAAACTTCTTTTCACTGTATGTCCTTGCATCTTGATTTTTTTTTTTTTTTTTTTTTGCTCACGTGCATGTGTGTGACCCACACACACATACACTCAAAAGGAAATGAGTGTAGAAGATGTTTCAGGGCCAAGCAGTAAGACATGAGCTTAGGGATCGTCAGCCCTCGGCACTACCCCTACCCCTGGCTTTGTTTTGGTTCTGGGTAGACACAGTGTGGATTTTGTGGAAAGGCCTTAGCTGTCCCCCTGCTCCCGAATCCCCTGTGTCACTGCATAGTTCCCCTGGGCCTGTGAGCACCTCGGTCCCCGCTCTGCCCCAAGCAGTAGCAACTCGCTGGCAGGTGCTTCTCTGCCGCTGCAGCTTTGATTCTCTGCAGGCTAAGTGGGTGTGGGTGCAGGTCAGGGTTGGCTCTCAGAGTGGAGACTGGCCTTGAGCAGCTTTCTTCCTCCTCCCAGCAGGTGTGACTGCAAGCTAGCATGAAAACCTCCTATAAACTTAGTGCTTTCATGTGCACACCTTCCAAGCAGGGCTCCCTCCATTGTCCCCTGGAATCCTCGTGTGAGGGATCCTCACAGGGGCTGTGGCAGGAAACTCAGGGACCAGTCCCCCAGTGACAGTGGTGGGGTCCGGCAGAGTGTTGCTCCCAGGTTCTCTAACAGTGGGCTCTGGGCCCTTTCCTGGATAAGCCATGGCTTTTGCACGGTTAGGAATTTGCGAGCTGCTAATGAGTCACAAAAGCGCTTTGATCTTCCCTCTTTTTGTTCCATGGGCTGGTGGGTTCTGCTGCCAGCTCTTAGCACTGGGAGGGCTGGTGGGTTCTGCTGCCAGCTCTTAGCACTGGGACTGGGGAGCCCCCTGTTGTGGATACAGTGGGAGGGACAGGTACAGGGAGGAACAATGGGAGCACAGGGGGTTCAGAGAGTCTGCTTTTGTGTTTATATGAATTTGCATAGCATGGGAATGAATAACAGGTTTCACACAGCCTGCTTTTTCCAGAAGACACCTGGTTGGATTTTCATTGTCTTGCCTTTTTGTTCAAATAGACATTTTACATGCGCAAGAACTTGGTGGATGGGGAGGTGGGCCTGGCCCTGGGCCTGGAGGACCCAGTATGCCCAGGTTCTGAGGATGACCAAAGACAGAGGCAGCCATCTCATCAGAATTGAGCTGGGCATCCACTTTTTGGAACAGTTTTCTTTCTTTCTTTTTTTTTAAAGATTTATTTTATTTTCATTACAAAGTCATATATACACAGAGGAGGAGAGACAGAGAGGCAGATCTTCCGTCCGATGATTCACTGCCCAAGTGAGCGCAACAGCTGGTACTGCGCCAATCCGAACCCGGGAACCAGGAACCTCTTCCAGATTTCCTTCACGGGTGCAGGGTCCAAAGCATTGGGCCATCCTCAACTGCCTTCCCAGGCCACAGGCAGGGAGCTGGATGGGAAGCAGGGCCACCGGGACTAGAACCGGCGCCCATATGGGATCCTGGCGCGTTCAAGGCGAGGACTTAAGCCACTAGGCCATGCTGCCGGGCCCCAGTTTTCTTTTTTAAAAAGAGGCTTAAACGTTATAATGGTTGTAGACCTCATTTTATGAAACTGTTGAGCACTACATGGCATTTGAAACCCCCTTGTGATCTCTGAGCTGCTGTACTTCTGGTGGGTTCCAGTTTTTTTGTTTTGTTTTGTTTTGTTTTGTTTTTTTAAGATTTATTTATTTTTATTACAAAGTCAGATATACAGAGAGGAGGAGAGACAGAGAGGAAGATCTTCCGTCCGATGATTCACTCCCCAAGTGAGCGCAACGGCCGATGCTATGCCGATCTGAAGCCAGGAGCCTCTTCGGGTCTCCCACACAGGTGCAGGGTCCCAAAGCTTTGGGCTGTCCTCGACTGCTTTCCCGGGCCACAAGCAGGGAGCTGGATGGGAAGTGGGGCTGCTGGGATTAGAACCGGTGCCCATATGGGATCCCGGCACGTTCAAGGCGAGGACCTTAACCACTTGCGCCACCGTGCCGGGCCCAATATATTTATTTTTTAAAGATATGTTTATCTTTAGCAGAAAGGCAGACTTAGAGAGGAGGGTTGTCTAGTGAGAAAGATCTTCTATCTACTGATTCACTCCTCAAGTGGCACAACAGCTCGAGCTGATCTGATCTGAAGCCAAGAGCCAAGAGCCTCCTCTGGGTCTCTGACACAGGTGCAGGGTCCCAAGGCTTTGGGCTGTCCTGTACTGCTTTCCCAGGCCACAAGCAGGGAGTTGGATAGGAAGTGGAGCAGCCAGGACACAAACCAGCACCCATATGGGATCCCACTATTGCAGGCAGAATTGAGCCGTCATGCCAGTCCCTCCCCCCACCAACATATGTCTTCTGAGAATAAAATCAGTCTCCAACAGAAGCAGAACACCATTATCACCCCTGTAGGGACTCCAACTATCAGCTAGCATGAAAATTTTCTTAATTGTCACCATGTCTCAAACAGCTTTTTCCATTGTCTCCAGTCTGATCTTAATACATTTGGCCTTTTTGTGCTTTGAAGTCACTTACAAGACATAAGTGACTCCCAAGTCCTAGGTCTCTTGGAGCCTTATGAAGTGCATGCCCAGGTCAGTAGACAGCTTTCGTCCCCCAGTTGAAGGCTGACTAGGAGCCCAAGCATTTTTCTCTGAATGAAGTCTGGAGCACAGCCTAGTGTGTTGGAGAGAGCCTGGCCTAACTTAGGCAGGGTGTCTCTTCCCCAATCCCCTCTGGAGGGCTGCTGGCCTCGCTCCGTGGTACCCTCCTGAAGTGGCAGGCTTCTAGCAATCTGTTCTCTCTTTTCTCTCTTCTGTCATGACAGTAGCCAAATGTAGTTTGTCTCAGGGTCTTGCTGCAGGCTGGTGTTCTGCCTGGCCTTTTTAGCCCCTGGGTTAGGAGGCTGCTGTGGTTGTGCCTTGGTTTCAGCTGGCTCTGTCCCCCTTTCAGTGGCGGGACCACTGGATGCAGTGTGTATACTTCCTGCCCCAAGAGGAGCCCGTCAGCCAGGGCTCAGCCCTCTGCCTCGTAGCCCACCACGACGACTATTGTGTGTGGTACAGCCTTCAGCGGAGCAGGTACGGCCGAGCCTCGGGAACCTTTGGAGATTGGATGCCAGCATCCGTTGGTGGGTGCTCTGGGGGCAGCGGGGCAGATTGGGGTTGAGCAGAGTGGTGCAAGAGCACAGCTGAGGTTGGGCGTGTCAGTGTATTCAGAGAGGGCCAGACTCCACTGAGTGCCAACATGGATGAGGTCTGGGGCTGGGAATTTAATCTCTGCTGCCTGTTTGAGTGTCTAGATGTGTTCCTTCAGCAGGCTTGTGGAAGGACCCCCAGGCCTCTGTCCAGTTCTGCAGGGCAAGGGCCTGTGCCATGCCCTCTGCCCCTGTGTGTCAGTTCATCTCTTGCCTTAGTCCTGAAGAGAACGGGAGGGTCGCCCAAATGCGCCCTGTGTGTGACTGCCAGGCTCACCTGCTCTGGACCCGGCCTCGGTTTGGAGAGATCAATGACCCGGACAGAACTGAGCAATATGTCCAGGCCCTGGGGACCGTAAGTGTCTAGCTTGTGGGTGGTGGGCAGGGTAGGGGGTTATCCTTGGCCCCAGCTCTCTGACATCTGCTGATCGTGTCTCTGCATTCTCCCGTCAGTGACTTCAGCCAGCTGCTCTGAGAGGAAAGCTGGGGGGCTGGTTGTGGTCCCCTGGAGGGCCTGCTCTGTGCGCATCTGTGGGAGCCTCCTCCGGGCTCCCTGCAGCCTCTGTGTGACCTGCTGGACACCTTTGTGGTGCCCAGCACTTAGTGTGAATGAGCCACCCCTTTTCATCTGTTGCTGCCTCTCATCCGGTCCTGACCCCAGGGCTCTCCTTGCTGGGAAGCCTGGGACCACCACTGCTGCTCAGAGGCTCTCCATGTTCAGAATCCCATGTGCATGTGTATGTTTCCAGGGGAGGAAGGATCCAAGGTGTAGGAGTGTCTCAGGGGTCGTCCTTGTGTAAGGACACCACTTGAACATGCCTGAGCCTCGAGTGACAGCCCTCAAGTCACCACACAGGGAAAGGCCATCCTTGTAGCTTTGGGTGTGGGCTTCCTGTAGCGAGGTGTTCCAGCTTGGGTTGAGGAGGGTCGTTCCTGCCGCTGGCGTCTGCTGGCGAGACTCAGGAGAGGCAGGTGTTGGAGGGCGGGGTGGGTCACCTCACAGGCTTCAGCAGGTACGCCTGTCAAGCTGCTGCTTCTTGCTTCCTGCTTCCCCGCAGGTGCTGACTCCAGACAGCGTCTGCCTGTGTGTCAGCGACGGCAGCCTGCTCTCCATGTTAGCCCACCACCTGGGCGCCCAGAAGGTACTGCACGTGGCTTCCTTTCAGCTTCTGGGGGCCGGTTCTTTGTTCTCTTTATTTTATTGCTTGTTTTTTCTTAAGGTCAGTTCTTGAATCAGGTTCATGTGGTTAGGTGCATGCTCCTATGCACCTTTTCTTTCTTTTTTTAAGATTTATTTATTTAAAAGAGTTACAGAGAGATCTCCCATGTGCTGGTTCACTCCCCAGATGGCTGCAATGGCCAGGGTAGGGCCAGACTTACCCAGGAGTCAGGAGCTTCCTCGATTTCTCCCAAACGGGTGGCAGGGTCCCAAGCTCTCAGGCCATCTTCCACAGCTTTCCTCAAGTCATTAGCAGGAAACTGGATCAAAAATGGAGCAGCCTGTAGCTTTACTGTAGTGCCCCAGTGCCAGGCCCTGGTGAAGGCTTCTTGCAAGTACAGCTGACCTGGTATGGCCACCTACTTGACTCGTGGTCTTTTGCCTACCTGTACCAGCTGCTGCCATCTTGTTAGGGTCCATGCAGACTGTCCTGTTCCAAGTCAGCAATAAGCAAGGTTGAACTGTTCAGGTGATGTCCTCTGCCTCGGACTGATCTTGTCTTATTTGAATATGCGATTTTGCCTCTGCATAGCACATGTGTGAGAACTAACACTGTGGTGCTCTCCTCAGGTATTTACAGTCGAGAGTTCAGCGGCTTCTCAAAGACTGATGAAAAAGGCAAGTGGCTCTCGTGTGTGACTACCAGAGGCCTGCGAGGCTTTCCTTCTGGCTGCTGTAACGTCCCCGGGGAACAGGCTGGGTCGAGAGCTCTCCCTGCTAGCAGCCCAGCTGTCCCCTGAACGTCCCCCAAACGTGTATGCTGTGACACTGGGTTTCACAGCTGACTGGGTGAAAGTAAGGGAACTGGCACGACTGCGGAAGCAGGTTCTGGGGCACCACTGCTCCTTGCCTTGTGGGAGGCATGTGTGCTCTTTCCCCTGGTCTCCTCCCAGGTGGGTGACCTGGTACGAGGTCCTGCTGTGACTGCAATTGGGCCACAGTCTCATCCAGGGATTGTTGGCTGCCCCTAAGGTAGGGGTTTCTGCAGGGCAGGTAGAGGGGGCACCCTGTTGTCGTAGGCTTGGGGTTCTCCAGCGCAGAGAGCAACTTGAGGGGGATTTGGGATTTTTCTTTTTTCTTAACAAAAATACATTTGTGATTGGTGTTTTCTTTTGTTGTATACTCTTTCAAAGATCTTCCAAGCTAATCATCTGGAAGATAAAATTACTATCGTAGAGAAGCGGCCCGAGTTGTTAACGTCTGAAGACTTGGAGGGTAGAATGGTGAGTAACAGGACCCCTGCCCGCATTCAGGGGGCATCAGGGTGGGGTGCTTCACTGCAAGTGCTTGCTGCCCTGTCCCTGTGTTTGCCTGGGGACCTGAGGGACAAACCAGCGGCTCCTCACAACTCAGCCTCTCTATGCCCTGCTGGTTCAGGACAGAGCAGCCCCATGGGGACAATCCCATCACCCTTCCCTTTGACACACACTGTCTGCTTCCTGAAACCGTCCCTTGCAGGGGCCTCCCCGTGCCGCCCTGGGCCGTGTGACAGGGGCCCTCTCTGTGGTCACATCTGTCTTTTGACCCTCTGGTCCCTCCTCTCCTCCACCTGCCCTAGCTATCTCCCCTAGGCTCTGCCCTATCCCTGCTGCCCTGTCCTGGAAGTGTCACATCTTCCCTCAGGTGGCTCGGGGCCATGGGAGGCCTTCACTCCAGGGAGGCCCCTCCGTTTGTGGGTCCAGGTCTGGTGTCCAGCTGCCACCTGTTGTCTTGCTTAAGCAGATATGGGGCCAGGACAGAGCCCATCAGTGTTCGTCTTTCCTGCCTGCCCTTTTATACTGATATATATTTTTGTGTATAAACCAGGTTTATTGAGAAGTAATTGATATGCCTTGAAAGGAGCCCATTTCAAATGTATAGGCCAGTGATCTTTAGGCATTCTATAATATGAAAGAGCTGTTGACTGATGCGTGTAGAGCGTTTCTGTCTCCTGCTAGATTCCCTGGAGCCTGGCTTCAGACCCAGGAAGCCACTGATCTAATTTCTATTTCTGCCCATTTCCCTTTTCTGGGAATGTAACAGAAATGAAGTGATTGTCCACGTGCTCCCACGGCACGTTTCTTTCAGTCCGTCTAAGGACGGTGGGCATAGACCATGTACAGAGTGCCTGTGCTGTGTCCTTCAGTCCTGAATAGTACCCCATTATCCACATCTGCCGAACATTGGGGTTGTTCTCCAGGGTTTTTTGTTTTAAGATTTATTTATTTGTTTAAAAGGCAAAGTTATAGGGAGATCATCTGTCTACTGGTTCATTCCCCAAATGACTGCAACAGCCAGGGCTGGGCCAGGCAGAAACCAGGAGCCCGGAACTCCATCTGGGTCTTCATATAGGTAATAGGGACCAAATACTTGGGCCAGTTTGTATTGCTTTCCCAGACATGTTAGCCAGGAGCTAAATCGGAAGTGGAACAGCTGAGACTTGAACCAGTGCCTGTGTGGGATGCTGGCATCACAGATTTTTGCCGTTTTGGGGAATTCTGCTTGCTATGAGCACTATGTAAGGATGAGTGGTTTCAGTTCCCTGAGGCAGATTCCAGATGTAGGCATGCTGAGTCATGTGCTCATTTTGTGAAACTTTTGTAAGAAACTGCTGCCGGAGAGGCAATACCATCTTATACCCTGTTGGCGCCATCCTAGGCCCTGGTTTTGTAGTGTAACCTTTTTAGTGGGTGTGCGTCTTTTTATGTGCTTGCTCACATGTGACTATTCAGATGTTTGCCCATTTTGTTCCGTGTCATTCACAGCTTTGTGAAGGTAAAACTCATCTGCAACTGCCACAACTCACTTGTTAAAAATGTACAGTTCAGGGCCCAGCACAGTGGCCTAGCGGCTAACGTCCTCACCTTGAATGCATTGGGATCCATATGGGCGCCGGTTCCATATGTGGTAGCCTAATGGCTAACGTTCTCACCTTGCATGCACCGGGATCCCATATGGGCGCCGGTTCTAATCCTGGCAGCTTTACTTCCCATCCAGCTCCCTGTTTGTAGCCTGGGAAAGCAGTTGAGGACAGCCCAAAGCCTTGGGACCCTGCACCCATGTGGGAGACCCGGAAGAGGTTCCTGGTTCCTAGCTTTGGATTGGCGCAGCACTGGCTGTTGGAGCTGCTTGAGGAGTGAATCATTGACGGAAAATCTTCCTCTCTGTCTCCCATCCTCTCTGTATATCTGACTTTGCAATAAAAATAAGTAAATCTTAAAAAAAAAAAAAAGATATAAAAGTGTGCAATTCAAATTTTGAAAGTGTCTAGTTCAGAGGCCGATAGTATAGTGTATGGGTTAGTCTTCCTATGGGATGCTGGCATCCCATGTTTTACAATTTGAGTTCAAGTTGCTTCACTTCAGTCTAGTTTGCTGCTAAGGCACCCTGGAAGGCAGCAGGTGATGGCCTGACCACCCCCCCCTCCTCCGCTGCCCATGTGGAGGCCTGAGTGGAGTTCTTTGTTCCTGGCCTCATCCTGGCTCCCTGGCTGTTGCTCGTGTCTGAGGAGTGACCTGGCGGATAACAGGAGGAGGTCTGTCTCTTGCTCTTTCTCAGCCCATCCGTGCTCTGGTATTGTCACTGCCTCTCAGTCTGTTCTGAGCAGCGCCACCCTTCTGCCCATCAGCTCAGGCCCAGCCCTGAGAGTCGCTCCGCTCGCCCCAGCCCACACTGTGCTCACCTGTCTCCTTGTGCCTGGCTCCCTGTCAGGTTCCTCTCCACTCACTTCCTGGTCCTCAGAGGGCAGGGATTTGGAGCACACACAGCCCTTCTGAGCTCTGCGTTAGATCCCCTGCAGCCTGTTGCTGCACTGTCCTAGCCCTGCCTCCAGTCCTTGGCTGTGGCTCACCCCTTCGCCGCTGAGCCTGCCTGTCCCTGGGCCTGGTACACACCAACACTCCCTGCCTCTCTGACTCCTGGTCACGCACTTGCTCGTTTACTCAGCAAATGTTTACTTGTGCTTTGCAGGGTGCTGGGGATACTGCCCTGCCTGTGTCCCTACCGGCAGGCACTGAAGAGTGCTAAAGCTGGTGGGGGCTTACAGGATGCCATTCTGGAAATCCCTACCAGGCTCTGACTGCCAAGGCCCCTCTGCTCCCCTTCCTTTCCTATCCATTAGTCAGGGGCAGCTCCCCATCCTCCTCTGCTGGGCACTCCTGGGGGTAGGACTCAGCTTTTCAACTACAAGGTCAGCTACAGACTTGGCTGTTTGTTTGCTGACTGACTGAGCAAGTGGCCTGACCTTCTGGGTTCTCGCGGGGGTGGGGAGGGTGGGAGCCCAGCCCATCACCCACAGGCAGATCCCTCTGATGCCTGGATCTGACTCTCTGCCCGACAGGTGTCTCTGCTGCTAGCGGAGCCGTTCTTCACCACAAGTCTGCTGCCCTGGCACAACCTGTACTTCTGGTATGTCCGCACTGCACTGGACCAGCACATGGAGCCAGGTGCCGTGGTGATGCCCCAGGCTGCATCGCTGTACGCCATGGTTGTGGAGTTCCGGGTAGGCTGCCTAAGGGATTTGCTGAAGGCCCCTTGGGACTCAGGTCTCAGGCCTCCTGTGTCCCTATCAGCATGCTGCAGGAAGCCATGGGGCAGCGTGTGTGAGAACACAGCTGTTTGCCACGGGAAATAGAAGTGGCTGCGCGCTGTCACTTCACAATGTGGCTTATCAGAATAATTAAGAACAGAAATTAAGCATTTCAGGAGACAGGCCATGTGCCCTGTGCCGCTCTCCTGAAAAGCCAAGGCTCCTGCAGTTAAAAGCGTTTTGAGCCGGGCGAGGCAGCGTCTGTGCAAGCAAGAATTGAAAAGCTTCATTTTAATGTTCTCATCAAAGCGGAACCGCAGACACAAAGTTCATTGTGGGAAAAAGCATTTTTATGAAAAGGTTTGTTGAAAAGCTTTGTGTGGCACACGGGCATGCTACAGTCGCTAGACCTCTCAAGGCTAGCGTCTTATCTCCCGCGGGGCCTGAGGGACTCCAGGCCTGCTTCCTGCGCCTTTCTTCTCTGTTGTTTTTTACCTGATCAGATTTCCACATGGATTCTCATTTTCATGGTCAAGGGAGAATCTCAAGAACAAATGTTTATATTCCCTGGCCTACGTTCCTGAACGGAGGCAGGGACAGAGGTACCCTGGCCCAGATGTGTCCCGCCCAAAGGAACGACCCCTGGGGAGCTGGGGCTAGGGGTGGTCTGGGCTGGAAGGCTGACCTCGAGCCCGGGAGTGCTGCTGAGTGTCCCGTCGTGGTGTGCTGATGCCACCAGGGACCGAGTCCCTTCAGCTGGGGGGAGTCTCTGGTCCATGGCCCCTGTTACCAGACATGCCCAGTGGGTTCTTGCCTCAGCTTAGTATAGAAATAAAAAGCTGGGAATCTGTTGCAGACAAAAAAATTTATTCGGGAAGGGGCCAGGTGAGCAGGGAAGGGGAAAGCACCTCCAGGGAGGAAGCCGGGAAGTGGGGTGCCTCTGGAAAGGGGAGGGAGAGAGAGACACCAACGGTTTGAGGAAGGGTCTTGGGATTTTAAGCACTCCCTGACCCCTCCTTGTTGGGCAGGGAACCTACAAGTAAGATGTTCCCCATTGGTGGTCTCTTAATTAGTCAGAAAATGGGTGGGCAATGCTGGTGCCGCCCACCTGAAGGTGTGGCCAAGACCTCAGCAGGCCTGGATGGTCTCAGCTCCCTTGCCTACCTCATGCTCAGGTGGTTCAGACACCTGTGTGCTCAGCAGGTGCTGTACTCAGGGCTGCACCTCCCCACAGGACCTGTGGCGGATCCGGAGCCCCTGTGGTGACTGTGAAGGCTTCGATGTGCACATCATGGACGACATGATTCAGGTAGGCCAGAACCAACGCTCTGAGCAGTGTGCTAGCACCCAGATGCTATGGCCCCTCACAGTCCCTCTGGCAGCATCTAGGGCTTTGGCAAAGTCGGGGGTTTGCGTCTTGCCTGGACTGCAGAGTACGGTTGCTTAGAACCAGCATGGTCAGGGCTGCCTCTTCCCCATGCTGTAACCTTCCAGCAGAGTCCCAGCAGAGTCCCTGCTTCCCCAGGCAGCTTAATGACCTGAGGCAGCTATTTGCCTCCTGGGGATTCCCTTCTCAGGGCAGGATGGTTCAGGAGGGTCTCCCTGTGGGGTGATCTCTGTGTTGGCAATGCGCTGAGTATCTGGCTGCAGGGATGGAGCCGGCTGCCAGAGAGGGTGTCCTTGGAGCCTGGGGCCTTCACGGCAGCACACTGGCCTTGGGATCTGTGATGAATGCAGTGAGATCACCGAGGCTGGGGCTGTGTGTGTGCAGGGGAGCTGCACAGTGCATGCCTGCAGGCCAGCGGGGCCTGCCTGGCTCCCTTCCTGCTATGGGTGCAGACCTCAGAGGCTTGTGGTTGACTTTTGTCTCCTAAAGATTTATTGGTATGGGTCCTGCATGGTGGCCTAACAGCTAAAGTCCTCGCCTTGCATGCGCCAGGATACCATAAGGGCTCCAACTCATTTCTTGCGGCCCCACTTCCCATCCAGCTCCCTGCTTGTGGCCTGGGAAAGCAGTCGAGGACGGCCCAGAGCCTTGGGACCCTGCACCCACGTGGGAGACCTGGAAAAAACTCCTGGCTCTTGGCTTTGGATCAATGCAGCTCTGGCTGTTGTGGCTACTTAGGGAGTGAATCAGCGAACAAAAGATCCTTCTCTCTGTCTCTCCTCCTCTCTGTAATATCTGTCTTTCCAGTGAAAATAAATAAATTGAAAAAGATTTATTGGTATGTACTCATAAGGCAGAATGACAGAGAGAGACCTCCTGTCTGCTTGTTCCCTCCCTAGAATGCCACAGCTGAGGCTGGGACTAGCCAAAGCTCCTGAGCTGCAGCCGTCAGGCCCTCCTCTGCTTGGAACCCAGAAGGCCTGGCCACCCTCTTGGCTCCTGTCCATGTCCCTTCCTGCTGCCCTTCTCCCGCTTGCTGCTGCAGCTCACCCCCTCTGGGCAGCTCTGGATCCCAGCCTGTGCAGCCCCAACCCGACTCCCAGAGGCTACAGGTGGTTGTCTCTGCCCCTGGCCTTTGCTAGGCGATGTGGCCATATAGTGTCAATGACTGGGTGAGTGACAGATTTGGTCCCAGCATTGCTCAAGCAAGAGAAGTGGCTGTCCCTTGTCCAAGTGAGAAAGGGAAGCTTAGAGACTGAGGGGAGAGGTACCTGCTGCCCTGATAGGCACTGGGCATCTTGCCCATGCGACTGTGGCTCTGCAGAGCCACTGGCTCATCTTGTCAGATCCCTGAGTCCTCTTCTTCTCCCAGCGTGCCCTGGACTTCCGGGAAAGCAAGGAGGCTGAGCCCCACCCGCTGTGGGAGTACCCCTGCCGCAGCCTGTCCCCAGCCCAGCGCATCCTGACCTTTGACTTCCAGCAGCCCGTGCCCCAGCAGCCTCTGCGTGCCGAGGGCTACTTGGAGCTGCAGAGGTGAGTGTGGTGTCAGGGAAAGGAGCTGAACTGTCACACTGGCAGATGGAACTGCGTTGGCCTCGTGTGGCACTGTGGACTTTCCGCACCTCCTGCCTCTGAGCGCCCTTTGTGGATCACAGCTGCAGGGAAATGTGAACTTGGTTACCATGGTTACCCATGGACTATTTCCATGAACTCTCCCAGGAATGGAAGCAGGTCAGGACTTGTGAGGGCCGTTCGCAGCAAGGCAGGCTCAGGTACCAGCCAGCGCCAGCCCCCTTCTCTCAACTGAAAGGAAAAACAGGAGTCTGGGTGCATGCAGTGCTTGGCGTGGGGCTGTGGCTCTTCTTGCCCAGTTATTCCTGAGTGACCAGGGGAGCTCTTGAGTCCAGGAGGAGCGGGAAGACCAGGGTGTCTGGGAAGCAGAAGGGCTGGAGCCGAGACCGTGCCCTCCCATCCCATGGTTGTGTTTGTCTCAGGCCTGGAAGGAGCCACGGGGCCGTCCTATGGATGGAGTACCACCTGACCCCGGAGCACACGGTCAGCACTGGCCTCCTGAGGCCTGTCGAAGACCAGGTAGGTCCACCCCTGTGCCTTGCCCCTGTGCCAGGAGATCACCTGTGACATTGTGTTTCTTGGGCTGAGTAACTCCTTGGTGGCCCTGGGTTGGTGCCAAGATGCCCTCAGTATCCTCTTGCTGCTGCTCTTACAGGGGGACTGCCAATGGAACCCCCACTGCAAACAGGCCGTGTACTTCTTCCGCACCCCACTGGATCCCAAGGTGCCACTGCAGGGCCCCCAGATGGTCCACTATACTGTGGAGTTTGTGCCCCACACTGGAGATGTCATCATGGAGTTTGGGCTCCTGGGCGTTCCGGACTGACCCTCCTGGTGGGTATCCTGGAGTGACCCTCGTGTATTGAGAAATAAAGTGGCCGGGGGGCTCTGCATGCCCAGGGCTTTCTCGGAAGGAAGCCCAAGGGCCTCGGGGCACACAGAGCCCTCTTTCTTTAAAAAAAAAAATGATGCTTGTTTTTATTTTTATTTGAGAGAGAGGTCGTCCCACTTGGCTTGTTAATTCCCCAAATGTTTGCAACAGCCAGGGCTGGGACAGGCCAAAGCATGGGTGACAAGTACCCAAGTGCTTGAGCCATCCCCTGCTGCTTCCCAGGGTGCGCATTAGCACAAGTAATCGGGATTGGGAGACAGAGGTGCCACTGCCTGCATACCCAGCCCTTCTGCCACAGTCGCACCTTGGCATTGCTGGCTCTGTGATGCAGCACCAAGGGTTGGTGACCGAGTTGGGAATGTGCAGGGGCAGGGAGACCACCACGCCGACAATGCTGAGGAAGCTCCAAGGCGGTGTCCCTGCCTACCCCCAGCACAGGTACCTTCCCAGCGTGGACAGGTAGGACTGCCCACCCGGCTTGCATGACTGAGTGGTACTGATGATTGGGGCCTCCCTTACCATCCTACACCCTGGGAACTCACAGGGCCCAGGGAAGCTGCATGGTGACCAGTCACCCACCTGGGTAAGCACTGAACTGTGGACAGGACAGCTCCAGCAGCCCGTAGCACAGTCACTGGGGTGCAGAATAGGTGGCACAGCCCCTTCCCATGGGCCTCCCTTGTGTGAGAGGGCCCCTGCTGCCCCCTGGAAGTGTCACTCCTGATTCTCAGCGGGGACACAATGCCAAGACAGGGCATGAATTCGGAAGGGCTGGAGAGCAGCTCCGGGGTCTGGAGTCCTGGGAGGGCTGGGCACCAGCGCAGCGCTCAGATGCAGCAGACACGGAAACCTTGAGCCTCACAGTTTTATTTCCTCCTCGTGATCCATCCTTTCAGCACCAGTGAAGGAGAAGAACCACCTCTCTCTCCAGAATCTTTTGTCAGGTGTAAAGATTGTTTCTCTTCTAGGGAAGAATCGTCTAGATATATATTTGATAATGTTTTTACCAAAACCTTAGATGTGCTTAGTATAGAAAAACCCCTAATGTCCCATGAAGATACAATACAGAAAAAAATACAGAAATTAAAAAAGGTTTTTTCCCCCTTTTTTAAAACAGTATTTCTAAATCTCAGCAAGTTAATACAATAGTTAAAAAGCATCAAGGCTAAATACAGAACACTCAGGGTGGTTGTGGACTGAAGGGAGTGCCCTTCCCCAGTGGACCCCAGTGTCCCGCCACCCCCACCCCAGCCTCTCCAGGGCCTTGGTAGGGCCTGTGCAGCCCCTGTGTTTAACCCCCAGGCCTTGGATGCCATGGAAGCTGAGATCCTGGCCAAGTTTATTTTGTGAAAATGGAAAAGCCCAGCTTGTTCCAAGCCCTGGATCCCACAGGTACGGCCTGAAGGGAGGCGGGGAGGCGTGCTGGGAGACAGACATCCTTCCTCTGGACCTCAGGAGCTGGCTAGGTGGAGGTGACCTTGGGATGACAGAAAATGGCCATGTGAGGCCTAGGGTACTGTGACTCACCCAAGGCCGCCCCAGGAGTTGGGCAGGAGGCAGAAAAACAGGCCTGTGGCTCTGACACCATGGATGTTCTGCCTCAGAACAGAAGCCACTGGCGCCCCTGGCCTCTGTCCTGCTGGGATGCACTTGCACATACAGCCCCGCAGCCTGGGGGGCCTGGGGCTGGGCCTAGGGAGTCACACTGGAGCCACAGTGGTTGCTAGAGCAGGGCACCTCACACCATGAAGCCCAGGCTGGACCCTCGGAGTTGAGGCCAGGAGTGCTGGAGGAACTCGGGTAAGGGAAGGCCCCCTGGGCCAGGGGCCTCAGGCCAGTGTTGGGCGGGTACACATACTTGCCAAGCTCCCCTGGCTCCCTGCAAAAGTCTGGCCCCCTTTGGTGGCTCAGTGGGTGACAAGGCATGGCTTTGGTACACCGACAGCTGGGTCCTGGCGCTCCAGCCAGCCCCTCGCCACACAGAGCTAGCTCTGAGCCAGGCTGGACACAAGATCAGGGCACACAAAGGAGGGAAGGCCAGTGCAGCTTGTTACCAGTGTCCCTTGGGCTGGGGCCTGGCACCTGCAGCAGGCAGAGGCCTCCCTTTAAGGCTGGGGCACAGCCCAGCTGTGTAAAGGCAGGAGGGCGGAGGCAGTGCTGTGGGGGCGCCTGGAGTGAATGGGGGAACCACAAGCCAGGAGATGGGGCTGGCTTGGTGGCTTCTGTGAGCCTACAGTGCCAGCTAGTACCACCACCCTGCCCCAGTCTAGTAGTGGCTGTCGGCCTTGCCCATTCTGCACCCTAGTGTAGGGATAGGCTGCCCCCCACACCTTGGCTTCCTGTCCCTTCATCCGGGACTCCTCCTAGCCCTGGCCTGGTCAGGAGAGCTGCTGAGGATGGGGCTGGGAGGCAGGCGGGGTCAGGGAGCCCCCAGGGAACGATTGGTCCCAAACCAGAGAGGGGGCATGAAGGGAGGGTGGGATCGGCACAAAGGAGAGGATGTATTTGGGTAGAAGAAGCTATAAATTGATCATTTTTGAAATCCAGGTCCCCCCTCCCTCCTTATGCTTATAAAAACAGTAACACTCCCTGCTCAGCCTGCTTGCCCAGCTCACTGGGGGCCAGGGGCTGAAAACAGCTGCTGATGACTGCCCTGGCTGGAGACGGGGACCCTGTGGCAGGAAGAGCGAGGTTCTCCCAAGCGGAGGGATATGAAGGGTGGATTTTAAGTCTTTCTGGTTTTCTTTTTAAAATGTAATCGCCCTTGAATGCAAGACCCTGGAAGAGCCCTGGGCTGGCCGGCCATGGCTGCAGCGGCGGAGCTGGTGGCCGAGCCCAGGGGTGCTTCTTTGGCTGGTTCAGATTGTGTTTGGAGTTTGGCCTTGGGTGAGGCCCGAGCAAGGGGTCTGTGTGGCTACAGTGTGGCACGTGGCATGCGGGCAGTGTGCATGCGAGGGTGCAGGCATGCGAGACAACATCGGCAGCAGACAAGAGTAATGAACCCTGGAGAAAGCCGGAGGAGAGATACAAAGAGGACATAAACCCGGTTCTCAACTAACCCGTGGGGTACAAACTAGGTTGTGCTGTAGGTTTGTAGAAAAGTCGTGTTTGCAAAGATGGCACTGGTTGGGCAGCCGGGGCACCCCAGGCTGGCCCCAGTCTTCAGTCCAGAGGGCCTTGGGGTGCGGCTGCCAGGCTTCCCTGGCCCCTCCCCCAGCTCCGGGCAAGAGCTCCTTGGGGGACAGGGCCCAGGGAGGGGCTGTGGCTCAGTGAGCTGGCAGTGATCCCCCAGCTCCTGACCTCGGCGACGTGGCTGGTCTAGACCTCCTCCTCTCCTGAAGACACCATGAGCCGCATGGCCACTGGGAGGTGGTCGGTCAGGCCCGACAGCTGGGTGATGAAGCTGAATTCTTCCACCTCCTGGGTTGAATGGGCAAGGAGAGAAGCAGCCTGGTTAGATCCCAGGGTGGGAACTGGGTTAGATGTGGGGCTGTGGGGCCCAGATCCCCCTGCCAGGACTCACAGCCTTCCAGTCGGGGCACAGCCCATCCTCAGCGTGCAGCATGTAGTCGATGCGCCTGCCATTTCCCTTCAGCAGGTCCTTGCGCCCCTTTTGGCCGCCCCCTGGGCTCTTGCTGGTGGGGAAGGCAAGGTACTCTCTGCGGCCTTCCTCACTCTCCAGGACCCTGTGGCAGGGGAAGAGGAGGGGACACAATGCAGTGAACATGTGGAGCCAAAGGTTGGGGCGGGTGGGCTCCAGAAATGCCCCAGGCCCCCTGTTACTTCAGGGGAAGAGTCTGGACCTTAGAGCCTGCACTTCTGCCCTGGCTGTGGGGTATTTCTCACGGTGCTCCAATCCCAACCTTCTGGGTCCTTTCCGGACATTGCTGCCCTCAGACAGCGGCTTGCCAGCCTCCCACGCCCAGGTGCCCAGTCAGTTCGGAGCACATGTGGGGAGAGGCTGGGTTCCCGCGAGGGTCAGGCAGCCACAGACCCAGACACTGATGACATGCGGAGCAGCAGCAGCCGGCCTGGCCTCACCCTTGATAATTAATTCCAGCAGCAGTGATGTGAGAGTTACTGATAGCTATTTTTTAAATCATCATCTCATGAAAAGATAATTTTCTCCACATAAGATGATGTTTCCAATTTAGTCTATAATCTAATTAATTGGCTCAGATGAGCTGCAAGGTACCATGGCTGTGACCATGCAATCTCAGGCTGTAAGTGATAAATTTGTCTTTTATGGAAATGGGCTCGGCAGTGAAGTTGGGCTGCATGGAACTGTTGGGAAGATGGCGGGTGCAGGGCTGGCCCATTGTGTGCCTGGCACTCCTGAAACTGCTTACCTGCTGCCAGCTAGGCCTGGGCAAGATGAGCTCTGACTGCTGGTTTAGGGAAAGGCTCCTGTGGTCTCGCGCGAGGCCTGTCCCAGGGCACAGTAGGGTTAGGGGCAAGAGAGACAGGCGGGGTGCTTACTTTTGCAGGTTGTCAGGCGTGCACACATCCTCATCATAGAGGCCGTTTATTTCCAGCAGAGTACCTGGGGACATAGGAGAGTCTTGGGGAGGGGTCCCTTGGAACAGGATCCCAGCCCCAGTCGAGGGATCCAGGGTGTTCCTGGTGGAAGCATGGATGCCCCAGCCCTCTGAAAGCCCCGGCTCACCAATGGCCCATGGCTTCTCCTCCCCAGGCCCCAGGCGGCAGGGGTCCTTGTAGCGGGTGAACAGGGCATGCTGCTGCTCCAGCTTGTCATCTGGGAGGAGGTAGAGAGACACATGGGCCTCAGGGGGTGCCCACCAGGTGCCTCCTAGGTCCCCACCTCCATGGGTTGGTGGCTTTTGGGTCCCCCGGTTTGGTTTATGTTCTTGAACATAACACCCCACTCCAGTCTTCAGCTTTCAGCTTCCCCTGGGAGGATGGTGGTCACTGCCTCTGAGGTCATCCCAGATCCAAAAGCTGACCTTGGCTGCTGGGTGGGAGGCCAGTGCCACCCAGCTGGGCCCCACCCTTGTCTCAGAAACTAGGGGAGTCTTGGGTGAAGGGGCATTCCAGAGAAGGAGGGCTGACATTGTGCTTGTTAAAGGGATACTGCCTGAAGCTTCAAGTGACACTGAAAGTCTGAGACAGGACGGGCCGGCTCAAGGGTGGCTCTGTTTCTAAGGCGAAACCCAGCCCGGCTGCAGGCAGCGTGAAGTGCACTGGGATGCGGGCTTGTCCCCACTGAGGACCCTTCCCACGGAGATCAGGTGCAGGAATCTGTGGCCTTCTTCAGCCTTCAACATTTTCCTTTATCCAAGAGTGTTCCTGTGTAGTTGTTGAATGTTTATGGCAATACTACATGACATTTAAAAATCTGTACATGGGGCCCAGCGCAATGGCACAGTGGTTAAGGTCCTCGCCTTGCACGCCCGGGATCCCATACGGGTGCCGGTTCTAGTCTCGGTGGCTCTGCTTCCCATCCAGCTCCCCGCCTGTGGCCTGGGAAAGCAGTGGAGGACGGCCCAAAGCTTTGGGACCCTGCACCCGCGTGGGAGACCCTGGAAGAGACTCCTGGCTTCGGATCGGCATAGCATCGGCCGTTGCGTTCACTTGGGGAGTGAATCATCGGATGGAAGATCTTCCTCTCTGTCTCTCCTCTCTGTATATCTGCCTTTCCAATAAAAATAATAAATAAATCTTTTAAAATAAAAATAATAAATCTTTTAAAAATCTGTACATGGCGTGTACTTTCCTATGAAACAAGCATGTGTGTGAAAGCAAAATGTTATCTCTTCATAAAAGGATAGGGGATATAATGAGGCTGGCACCCTGGGAGGGCAGCAGAGGATGGATCAGCTGTTCCAGTCATTTGGTGAGTGAGCCAGCAGGTAGAAGATCTACCTCCTCTCTGTAAATCTCTTTTCAATAAGAGAATCAGATATATACAGAGAGGAAGATGTTCCGTCCGAATCATTCCCCCAGTATGCTGATTCAGCAACTTCCTCCAGGTCTCACCATGACAGGTGCAGGGTGGAGGGGGCTTAGGAAGAGAAGTTGAGGGGGGAGGCGGGCGCGCGCGCACACACACACACACACACACACACACACACACACACACACACACACACACACACACACACACACACACACACACACGAGAGAGAGAGAAGAGAGCATTTGCCAGGTTGACCCCTCCTAGAGCACTGGGAGCAACAGGGGATTCGAACTGGCGCCCACTTGAGCTGGGCCTGCACTGTAGTCAGAGACGTTACTTATCAAGCCACAGTGCCGGCCCTAAGGAGCTGCTGCTTCAGCAGGTACTTCAAATTTCACAGGTTGGGCTGATACTGACGTCAGCCTGCAGCACCCAGCAGCCTGTTTGGGCCCGTTTCTGACCAGCGGCTCCACTTCCAGCTCCCTGCAATGGTGTGGGATGAGCAGCAGAGGGCAGCCCAAGGGCTCGTGCCCCTTCACCCCTGTGGGAGACCCTGAAGCAGCTCTAGGCTGTTGGCTTTGGCCTAGCCAGCTCAGCCCTGGCTCTTTGGGAATGAACTAGCACATGGAAGAGCTCTCCCCCTCTCTCTGTTTTTCGAATAAATCTTCAAAAACAACAACAAAAACCCACTGCACAGGTGACCTTTGTCTTGCAACTCTTGCAGCTCAGTGGTTTGAGACTTGATTTCCCACAGCCCAGGGGCCAGCACTGTGCATAGAAAACCTGTACCTGCAGTGTCAGCATCCCAGGCGGGCACTGGTTCAAAAAGACCCAGCTGCTCCACTGTCCATCCAGATCCCTGTTTGTGGTCTGGGAAAGCAGTGGAAGATGGCTCATGTCTGCACCCACATAGGACACTTGGGAAAAAGTTCCTGGCTTTAGAACGGTCCAGCTCCAGCCATTTGGGAAAATGAATCAGCAGACAGAAGATCTGTCTCTCCCTCTTTTTCTCTGTAATTGCCAGTCGAATAAAAATAAAATCTTTTTAAAATAAACAACAAAACACTTTATTCTGAGCGTTCAAATCCAGCCCACCCACTTCCTCACTGCCCTGTGACCTAGGAGCCGTCCTCCACCCTGCCCGGCACCGCCTTCTCCCAAGGCACACATGCACAGGGTGGCTGCCCTTTGGGGTGGTGGAGGCAGCTGAGGCATGCCCAAAGCACAGCGTGGTGTGAGTGGCAGGTGCACCTCCAGGCTGTGTCTCCCCTTAGCCCAGGGTCTCTGAGCTCCCCAGAGAGGGGGCTCCTGCTGTAATGCTACTGGGGGAAAGCGGCCCACCTTCTCCTGAGGGGCAGGGGTGTGGCCTCACCAGAGGAGCAGTTGTCGAAGTTGAGATCCCCGCAGACAACGTCAAACGCCACCAGCTCCTCGGGGTTGGCTGCGCTGGACGAGGAGGTAGATTTTCGGAAATCAGCCAGCCAGTCCTGAAGCAGGTCCAGCTGCTCACAGCGGATGGCGCTGTCCTCTGTGGAGGCCGAGCATAGAGACTGGGCCATGAGGCTCATGAGTCCCATCCTGACCCAACACACCCGCCGGCCCCATGCTCCTCCTCTCCCCGCCACCCCAGAGAACCTTGGAGGCAGCCCTACCTGCTAGGGCGTGCAGGTGTGTGCAGGCGATGTACCCGACAATTCTTTGGTCCTGAGGTGTGCTTCCCACCTGCACCTGGTGAGGAGATAAGGGGTAAGTGCTGCCCCCCAGCGGCCATCACTGCTGTGTGCACCAGGAGACGTGGCCCACACACCCGCCTGGCCACTCAGACCCTCAGGCCCTGCTCCATGCCAGGCTGCCAGCTGGACTCCAGGGCCCAGGAGTTCCTGCTCCTGGCCCTGGCTGTAGCAGACCTTTAGGGAATGTCTGTCACTTAAATTTAAAAAAAAAAATCACTTGAAATGGGTATCGCAATTATACCTCATAAAGTCAACTCAAAATGACCTCCTAGGGGAAGATGGGGCTCTCGGCAGGGCTGGCCTGGGGCAGGTGGGGGAGTCCAACAGACACGTTGCCCTCCTACCCACTGGGATGCTCTTACAGCTGCTGGGGGTCCCAACGGAGGGGTCTCTGGGGATGTGGTGGGCCCTTGTTCCCTGCACCTGCATTGGAGCACGGATGGCACCTGTGACTGCTGAGGCCCCTGTGCTGTGACAGCAGCAGCAGCTGCAGCAGTGCCCAGCACAGAGCCCTAGGGGACACCTGAGTCTCCTGCTGGACCAGCCCCTCCCCAGCTGGGGCAGCATGCCTCCTCAGTTTCCCCTGCTTTTTGGCTGCCGTTCTGCAACATCCAGCCATGAGTGTCTGGCCATTTGATGAAGGGCTGTAGGGCCTGGGTGTGACTGTTGCTAGACCCACATACATCACTCACTCCTTGTTCATCTCCCAGACTGGCATGGCTTAGTGCAACCACAGGCCCAGGGGTCATTTGCACCCTGTTGCAAAAACACAACTCATGAAAAACCACAGTGCCCCAAAAAGGCCACACGGTGGTGCTGTCGGCCCGTCTACGCCCAGGTGCCGAGCCTGTTTGCTTTATTCTTTGCTGAATCCTTTGCCCCATTTTCCTAGCTGAGCACCACAGTGAGGTCAGGGGAAGCTGAATGGCAGGCCAGGCCCCCAAGGCACACATGGTCAAGGCAGGTTCAGGTCTGGCCTTGTTGGCTCCTCCCCGGCCACCCATTTGTTGGACTGCATGTGCCAGCCTCTCCCTCAGCACTTCCTTGTCACCTGCCCTGTGCCAGTCTGGGACAAGGGAACCAGAGGCGTTAGTGTCAGACTTGGCCCTGGTGCTGAAGAAAGCCCACCTGGAGGGCAAAACACGTACACACGCAGGCCGCTGGGCACAGCCACCTCCCCCACGCCCCCCACTTCCCCTCTTAATCAGTCGTGTGATCTTGCCAAGATCCACTTTATTATTTGCTGGGCCTTATTGATTTCTGGCTCATGGCCCGGAGCTGCCGTCCTGTGTTTCTCTTGCAAAAACAAACAAGCATGCTGAGAGGTTGTGCCTTTCAGCCTCCTTGATACGAGAGACTCAACAGGGAAGGGGCCTGGATCTAGGTTGGGGGTGGGGGGAGGGAGGGCTGGGAGGGGTCGTGCCTGGTGCAGGGGTCGGGGTTGGGGGTAGACAGGCCCCAGATGGGATGCAGCTGTCGGGAGTCCAAGTTCAGGGCTGGGCTTTGTGTCCTACGCTGTGAATATTGGGCAACATAGGCCCATGTTTTTCTAACAGCATGGACCCCCACTGAAACACTGCAGGCCAGTGTCAGACCCCGCGGGTGGAAGGAGAGACAAGAAGGAGTGGAAAGGGACAGAGAGAAGCACAGAGGGACCGGCCAGGGAGACAGCGAGCGGCGAGTGAGGTGGCGGAGAAGGCCGGTGAGGAGGGGCTGCGAGGCTCGGCCTGCCCCGAAGTGGGTAGGCCTGGAGGGGACACAGACCCCTGGCCTGGAGCCATCAGTACCAGGGCCGAGGTGGGGATGGAGGGCCAGGCCTGATCACGCAAGGTCAAAAACGCCCACGGGATGAAACCCCAAGGAACCCTGGCGAAAGAGGGCATTGGCCCCATTGGTTGGAGGACCCCAGCCAACTGCAGCCTCTTTGGGAATGAAAAGCCAGAGGCCCCCCACCCCATCCGGGCCTGGCAGAGCCGCCCTGGGGCCACCGGGCAGCCATGAGGGTCGCCAGGGCCCAGGGATGCCTGCCCGCCAGACTCGACCCTGACTCCGGGTGGCCACCAGGCTCACACACCGGCTCATTCCCAGCCCAGGAGCAGATGCGGCCCTCACCTGGAAGGGAGCGGTGTCTGTACAGGCAGTGGCCACCACTGAGGCAGGAAGCCCAGCTCTGCAGCGGCCAAGTGAACACGCTGGAAGCCTCTGGGGAGAGCGGAAGTCGGCACTGCGAGCAGTGAAGGCCCAGAGAGCCAGCAAATCACCGCAGTAAGCTCCAAGTGCCTCCAGATTAGCAGAAATCATCACAATTCACTTCAATCAGTGTCTACAGAAGCCAAGCCAGGGCCTGTGATCGGAGAGCCTGACACGGTGGCCATGGGGCAGCCAGGAAGGCCGGGACCTCCGGGTTGGGCTGTGGGCCTGGCCCAGGGGCCCTGTGGCCGCCTGCAGCTCCTGGTCTGAGCGGCTCTGCACCAGGGGCACCAGGATGGCCAGGACTGACACTCTCTCAGGCCACCCAGACCGGAAGGAGGTGGCTGAGGTCACTCAGCTGGGGCCTCAGCTCACGGCTCTGTGCGGGTGTCTCCCAGCCCTGGTCCAAAGCACCCGATTCCACCTGGGGCCCCTGGCTGCTTACCTTGAGAAACAGCGCACCCTTAGAGGCCAGGGCGTCAGAGCCGCGCCCGTTGGGGTAACAGTGATAGGCCACGTCCATGACGGGGTAGCGGCTGGCAAAGAAGAGGCCGCTGTTGAGGAACTTGAACTTGCAGCAGCCGTGGCAGCCATAGACCCCCACGTCGTACAGAATGTACTCGAAGTAGCCGTGCAGCTGGTCTTTCAACTTGGTGGCTGCCCGCTTGTCAAACACCTCCTGCAGGCATAGGAAGTCCAGGTTGGCAGGGAAGAAGGCCGAGACCTCGTGGTCAAAGGCCTCGTCCGGGTGCCGCCTCCTGCGCGTGGCAGCCTTCTTCACCACCGAGGCCTTGTACAGGAGCTTGCTGTTAGCGCCCGGCTCGGCGCCGCAGTCCGGCCCTGCCCGCGCCTTCACCAGGGACTCCCTGGAGGCCGACGGGCTGCCCAGGCTCCCGGAATCCCCGTCCCGCTGACTGTGGTTGGGGGTCTGGCCCTTAGGGCCGCCGCCGGCCCCGTTCCTGGCCTGGCTCCCAGCGGCAGGGTCGTCGGCCTCCGGCGGTCGGCCACCCTCCTCGCCACCGATGCGCACGATGCAGGCGTCCTCGGGGTTGCCGCCATCAGCCGGGTCGCTGGGGGCTGGACCGTTGGCGGCCTCGTCACCACCACCGTGGCGCCCGCCATCACCCTTGTACTCCACGGAGGATGTCCTCTTGATGCTCCCGGGGACGGCGCGGGCCCCGCCATCGCCGCCCTGTGGCGACACCAGGCTGCTAAAGCTGGCCGCGCTGATGGAAGTGTTGGTGGGCGAATCGATGTAGATTTTGATCTGGGGCCGGGCAGCGCCGTTGCGGATCCTCTGCCCGATCTCCCGGGCCCGGGCCTGGGTGTTAAACAAGTTGTTGAGCCTTGCCAGCGCGTCCGGGAGGAGGCAGAGGTTGGCGGTGGCGAAGCAGAAGCTCTTGCCAGTCCCCACGCCCTTCCATTCGCTGAGCAGGGCCGCCCCGCCTGCCGCGCCCTTGTCCTGCAGCCGCGAGTAGACGTAGGGCCGGCGCACAGACTGCAGGGGCGACCAGAAGATGAAGCCGACGAGGGCGAGGGGCAGCGAGGCTACCAGGAGGGCCAGGTAGATGGGGGTGAAGAGCAAGGTGCAGAGCAGCTGCAGGCAGCACGGGTCATCCGCCCGCTGGCGCTTCTCGTAGGTGGTGGGCCGGAAGGAGGCAGCCAGGCGGTCCAGCAGCCAGTAGCATGGGAAGATGAGGGCCCAGGACACAGCGTGCAGGGCGGACAGACAGCTGGTGGGAAAGGGGGTCGTGTACAAAACCATCGCAGCTCCCTGGGCGCCGCGGCCGGCCCTACTACATGGTGTCCGGGGCAGCGGCGGGCACTTTCCTGGGCCGGGGTGGGAGGGGTGTGTGTGTGTGTGTGTGTGTGTGTGTGTGTGTGTTGGTGGGGGATACACTGGAGGAGGGTCACCTCCTGGCACGGCGTGGCTCCGGGTGCTCAGGGGCGAGTGCTGGCCAGCCGCTCATGGTGGGCCTCAGCGGGCCATGCTGGGGAGCCTGCAGAGACAAGAAGGAGCTCGTGTTGATATTTGGGGAGCAGGTTGGCCCTGGGGGGCTGTCTTGCCAGCTCACCCCCCACTTTGTCTCCTGCAACTTGCGCAGGACTGTTCTAAGCACCAATCCAGGGCCAGCAGGCTCACATGGGACACACAGGGGCCTGAGCCCCTTGGAGTAAGTAGCTTGACAACAAGACTTCACTAACTGGCTACCTTGACCTGGAAGACCTGCCTGGGTTTTCTGAGGGGGTACAATTTTGGGGGTGCTAAGGGGGCAGGCTGGACAACCCACAGGCTGCCTGAGGAGCAGTGGAAGCAGCGAGGGCTGTGTCCCAAGGGGGCCTCGGTCATAGGTGCTGCAAACTGACACCCAGTGCCAAGTGGGTCAAGACAGAGAGACGGGCCAGAGGGCAGGCTGCTGGCCACTGGCCAGGCTCTCCTGGGGGCCTCGCCTGCAGCATCCGACAGAGCCCACGTTGAAACTCCTGTCCACGGGCGTAGGCCCAGCCTGTGTCCTAATGACTCCCAGGAAGGACAGGAGACCCAGTTGCAGACCCCCACAGTGCCGGGGACACTTGGAGACACTTCCTGAGGTGAGACAGGTCTGGCCCCAGCTGGGACTGCTGTCCCTCAGGCCCTCCGGGACCCGCCCCGCGGTATCTGTCACGGCCCCCTGCTGCAGTGGCTCCCAGGGCTGGGCTCCGGACGGGCTGCCAGGTGTGTTCACTGTGCTGAATGTAAAATCAATACAGGCTTGTCTGGAGTGTTGACTCAGCCTCCAGGGACCCATAGGTGAGCGATCTGTGGCAGAGCCTGCGTGCCCAGGTCAGCCAGGCATGCCTTCCCACCTATCCCCCTTCTGCCTTGGCCCTGAACCGTCTCCTCCTGCTCATGAACCCGAGTGCCCACGCTGCAGGTCTGGGTGTCATCCAGAACCCCTACCTTCTGACCCCTCGGTCAGGCCTGCCCAGCTGGAAGCCCTGTCCCATACGAGGGCTTGCCTCGTGCTTGCTGTCTGTACCCCGGTCATGCCCCAGCCCTCTCCATCCCTAACCTCCTTGCTCATGCTTCCTCCCTTGGGACCCAGCCTGGAAGTCATCTCCCTAGAAAGGACCCTTTGCTGTCCCCTTGCCCAGCTGGCTTTGGTGCATCCATTGGGGTTCCTGTCCTGGTCAACAAATGGGACAACCCCGACTTTCTCAACAGAACGGAAGCTTCTAGAAAGAAGGAGCTGCCTAGGGTTACTGTAAAGCTCTTGGCAAACGGTGGCAGGTGTTCAAGAGTGGGTCTGAGTGCAGCTGCTGTCCCAAGGTGGTGTGAGGAGGGCCCTGCTGTCAGTGGTCCAGGGGTGTCAGGGCAGGGGGCAGGCCAGGCTGTGTCTCCCTGTGAAGTTGAGCTGGGACTGAGCCCGCCCTGGCTAACGCCTTTCACAGGGATTCGACTTTGTTCTGGGAGCTTGCTTTGAAGCCAACCTCCAACCCTGGGTAGCGTGGCGTTGGGAGTGGCGGGCGTGTCTACGCGGACCTCAGCCCCGCGCCTCAGTGACCTCCAGTTGTGTGGCCAGCACCGGTGACTCAGAGTTCAGTGGCTGGCAGGGCTGCAGTCCGCCCACGCTCACCATCTGACTGGGGACTCAGGGATGCACGCACTTGCTGGCTCCCGGCTGCGAGAGGAATCTCCGGAGGAGGTAGCAGCCCTCCTTGGGCACACAGGCCAGGTGCCCCAGTGACCCTCACTGTGTGGGTGCAGCCCAAGGGGGCGTCCACAGGAGTGGCTGAGTCCAGGGTGTGGCACCCAGGTTTGGGGATGGAAATGTCCAACTCGGGGACAATGGGAGCCTGATGGCCCAGGGGTGACAAAGGTTGGGGGGGTGGTTCCAGTGGGGCTGTCCAGGGGCCAGGTTTTTTGGGGAAGGAGCACAGGGTCAGCTGGGCACAGATGGGCATGCCTACAGACTTGCAGCACTTGCAGCAAAGAAACTCCTTTAAGCAGAACTGGCTCATGTCCCCTGGGACGGCGGTGGCACAGCTATAGGTCAGAGGTGGCTGCTTCCTGAGAGATACCTCTCAAACATGTTCCCACGTGGGTGAGGTTCCTCCAGCACTGGCTGGCCCAGGGGTACGATCTGGCACCAGCTGGGACAGGCCACTGGGGATGAAGGGAGCAGCGAGGGGCCTGAACACCTGCCCTCATGCCCTTCACTGCAGCTAGGCCCCAGGCCTCCTGCCCACCTACAAGGAGGTGGCCCGGCCTCTCTGACTCTACTCAGTTGGTCATGGGAAGCAATGATTTTGTTCAGGAGTCAGTGGGATGTGAAGTGGTTGACAGCCCTGGGTGCCAGTGGACAGTGGTAGCCACCATTGTTCCTCTAAGGTGTGGTGAAGGGTCTGGTGCAGTAGCTAGTGGCTAAAGTCCTCACCTTGAATGTGCTGGGATCTCATATGGGCACGGTTCTAATCCCAGCAGCTCCACTTCCCATCCAGCTCTCTACTTGTGGCCTGGGAAAGCAGTCGAGGACAGCCCAAAGCCTTGGGACCCTGCACCCGTGTGGGAGACCCGGAAGAAGCTCCTGGCTCCTGGCTCCAGCTCAGATCAGCTCTAGCTGTTGTGGCCACTTGGGGAGTGAATCATTGGACGAAAGATCTTCCTCTCTGTCTCTCCTCCTCTCTGTAATATCTGCCTTTCCAATAAAAATAAATAAATCTTTTTTTTTTTTAACATGTGGTGAAGACATCTCTTCCTTTCCTACTGCTATCCCAGTTTCCTCAGCTACACTGGGGTCCCTCCCTGAACCCTTATCAGCCTGTCCTCTGGCCCTTGGGGCCCTCCCAGGCGCTGCCCCACCCCAAACTCCTCCCCACACAGCACACACAGAAGGGGCTGCCACCAGCAAGCCTGTCTCTAAAGCTCTGTGGTTGATTACTTTGTCTAGGGGCAATGAAGGGAGGATAAACAAATAACAGCATACTCATTAGGCTGATCTACACTTTCTCTGTCAAAGCGGAGGACTAGGGTGCTGGCGGCTCCTCCCAGCACCCTGGTGCTTCTTCTGGAGGGGTGGCCGGGGCAGGGGGCGGCTCCCCACAGGCGGTACACGGCACACGCAGGTGTGCGGGACACCCCTTGTGTGTTACTTTCCTCCATGCCCTGGCTGCTTCCATGCCCTCAGGTTGGTAGCTTAGCCAAGCCAAGTCCACTGAGGCTGGGCTGATGGGGCTGGCAGTGACCATGGCAGTGTTCATAGCCTAGCCTCACAACCTGGATCGCTTGCACAGGCTCCTTTCCGTAAAACTAGTGCCAGTCCCTGGGCCCCACCCCTCTTGTAGTCCAGGGTCTCCAGAGCAAGGTTTCTGGGAATCCCAGACACCTGCTACTAGCCTGGGGCTGCACGCAGACCAGCCCAGGAGCCAGGCGATAGGAACCTCTCACCGCCAAGCTCTCCTCTAAACACTGGCCTGAGGCTTAAGGGGTCAGCCGACCTGCCCTGGCCAGGGAGGGCACCCTCAGGAATAGGGCCTTGGTGGTCTGCGGTGGGCAGGGCCTCTACTGGGGCCACCGCAAGCCCCAGCTCCCTGGGACACGGGCCTGATAGGTGTGCTGGGCTGTGGGAGCTGCCTGCCCAAGGGTCCCAGTGGACACTGACTTTGAATTTCTGGTGAGCAAGCCAGACCGGTCGGGCTGGCCCCTCCAGGGAAGCCTAAACAGCTTTGCGGGATCCCTGAGCTTGGAAGGTTTCTGGAAAGCCCTGCACGGGAGAGATTACCCTATCTGGTGTCTACACTGGGTCTGGTCCCTCTTCAGGCTGCACTCTGGCCTGCAGAGCCCTCTCTCAGCAGTGGTAGTACCCGCAGTCCTGGAGCCCAGAGACTTCCTGCTGAGCCCTCTTTGTGTCCGCACAGGGGCTGGACCTGAGACCCCAGGAGCTGCATGGAGCCCCGGGTTTCCGCAGGACAGGCCCCCTGCCCTGCTCCAATCCAATTATCGGCGGGTGCCTGCGTCTGCCAGCAGCGCTCAGCCCACCCGCCTCTGCCTGGACACCTGCCAGGGAGGGTTGGCATGGCAACCCGAGCTGCTGAGCCTGGGAGTCAACTCGGCAAAGAACAGAGAAAAGCGATGCCTTTTCGGGCTAAGGCAGCAAAGATGCTTGAGCTAATCCTCAGAAGCCACGGCCCACATGCAATTGGGGTCTGGGGTCCAGAGTATGTGGGCTGCAGCAGGGATGCCGGTGGACATAAATCACCTCTTCTTACAAGATACAAAGCCCCTCCCTCCCCCTCCTTGGCACATCCCCCAGCTCCTCAACCTGCCTCCTGCCTTCTGCACAGCCCATTGACGCTCAGTCTCATCAGGCAGCGTCTGTTTCGTACACCCAGAATGCAGCCGCGGTCTCCGTCCAGCTCTGCTTCGCGGCGCTGCTGTGCGGACACACGGCTGCCGACCTTGCTGCAGCATAGACCTGAGTCCTCGCTGCACCATCACACAACCAAGCTGCACGGTGCCAGGTTCTCCCTGGAACTCTCACCAGGCTCCTCCACAAGGCGCCTTGCATTTGCTATGAGACAGAATACAGAGCTGAAACATCCGGTGTCTACCTCAAGTTCTGAATCCAGTTCTGAAGAGAGCAGGCCCAGGGCTGGAAACATCAGGCCTGAGGCTCGTGGCAGCCCTGAGCTCTGATCTCCCTGTGCCTGAAGCCGACACAACCTGTAGCTTGTTCTGATGCAGGAGTCCTCAAGTCCCCCATTTCCCCTTTGCTATGGCCACTGTGTTTCCGGCTCCTGTTGCCCACCCAAGGGAGCCTGAATTCGTGTGACAGGAATGGATTCTTACTAAAATT